TTGGTCTTTTTGAAACTCTTGGTGTCACCTGCCTCAGCAAGACGGGAGAGGTGAGAGCCAGGACGGCCGATCAAGGACAATACCGTGGAGCAAAGGCGGTGGCAGCAATAGAGAGGTTCCACTTAAGCACCAGGAATGAGCACCCCTCCGTTACCCTGTACAATCTGTTGGACTCCTTTGACGTCACCACCGTGCCTTGTAAAACACTGTCTACTGTCTCACAACAGTTTACCTGACAGAATGAGTTATTAAGAAAGGGGAAATTAACTAGAGTTAGGGAAGAAAAAGGATCCTCGTTCTCAGCTAAAGACCTTGCTTCCCGTGACATCAAAGTCTTCTGAGAAGACTCCCCTCAGGACTCTGCCCTGCCACGCTGGGTGCCCACTGCATGCACCCTGCCAGTGGACTCAGCGCTCAATGGTCTGCGGTGTAGCTGATCCGTGTGGCCACTGTTCCTTCTCTTTCGRCGCTTCTAAGCAGCCTTACAATCAGGTGTTTGTTAACAAGGTCCTTATGACCAAGAGGGGTCCAAYTTTTGCCCCTTCCTTTTCTCTTTTTCACTTAAAGGAAAATTCTTYACTACTTCAGGGAATCTTTATCTTCCCTTTGGCCATTGTTTTATGCCTCTGCAATCAGGCTTTTGTCCTGTGGCTTCCAAAGAGCCCCTCTTCTCAAAGTTTCTGATGCCTGTCAAACTGTCCAGTGCAGATCTGTCACATCTGGTCTGCCAGCCATGTGGCACAGCAGATGGCATCCTTCATTTTCTTTTGTGGCACTGGGGAGTGAACCAGGATCACTTTACCACTGACCTACATCCCCAGACCTTTTTAATTTTTATTTTGAGACAGGGCTTTACTCAGTTGCCCAGACTGGCCTTGATTTTKCGACCCTCCTGCCTCAGCCTCCTGTATCACTGGGATTACAGGTGTGCACCACCATACTTGGCAAACTTGGTCTTCTCAAAGCTTCTTTCATGTCAGGAAATGATATTCTCCATGTTCCATGCCAAAAAACCACAGGTTTCTTTTTTTGTTATCTTTCTCTCACATCCTACATTTCATGTGTCAGCAAATTTTCCTGGTTCTTCCTCATTTTGGGGGGAGCTGAGGATCAAATCCAGTGACTTGCACATGCTGATCATGTGCTCTACCACTGAGCCACACCCCCAACTCTTCCTTTAAAAAAAATTACGTTTAATTTAAAAGAGTAGTATAAACAAGAAAGTTTCACAAAAACATAATGTTGCCAGGTACAGTGGTGCATGCTTGAAATCCCAAAGCCAGGAGGTTGGCAAGTTCAAAGCCAGCCTCAGCAACTTAGTGAGATCCTAAGTACCTCAATGAGACCCTGTCTCTAAATAAAATACAAAAAGGGCTGGGGATGTGGCTCAGTGGTTAAGTGCCCCGGGTTCAATTCCTGGTACCCAAACAAACAAACAAAACATTGTTGCCATGGAAGGCTGGTGCTTGCTGCTGAGAACCTGCAGCYAGAGGGGGTTGTGGATTTGGGGACTACACGAGATCTTGGTTTTGAGATTTAAAYACATCATGAGTCTGACTGCTTCTTGGCACATCTGATGCTCTCATTCTGGTCCAGGCCATTGTCACCTCTCATCTRTTGAGCASAGTCCCCTCCAGCTCGGGTTTGAATGTGTCCCCAAAGTTCATGTGAAACCTGATTGCCAGTGCAGTAGTGCTGAAGGAGGGCCTGAGGAGAGGCACMTGGGTCCTGAGGCGCTGTGGGGTGGTCAGGGCTGCTATAACAAGGCTTCAGGAGTATGTTTTCTTTTTTTCTGCTCTTCTGCCACGTGAGGAGAGCTTGCCCCTTTTTGGATCTTTTTTCTTCCAGTGTTTGGAGACACAGGAAGGCCCCTCAGATGCCCATACCTTKGTCTTGACTTCCCAGCCTCCGGAACTATGAGAAATAAATTTTGGTTCTTTATAAATTACCCAGTCTTGGGCACAAAGGCAGCACAAAGGCCTAAGACTTCCTTCACTGAGGTTACTGAGGGCAGCCTGATGTGCGGCACTGGTGGAGGGATGTTTTAAGAATCTCACTGCACGGGAAAAAGCTCAGAGCTTATAACCTTCTCTCGCTAGCTGATGGAGAACAAGGCTGACAAGCACTGTTTCTAATTTTAAAATAAAATTCTTTTAAGAAAAGTCCTTTCTCCATGTTGATACCCTATGAGGATTAAAAAACTGGGATCTGCTGGGTGTGGTTCTGCACATGCCTGAAATCCCAGTGACTTGGGAGGCTGAGGCAGGAGGATTGCAAATTTGAGGCAAGCCTCAGCAACTTAGCGAGACTCTGTAAAAATAAAAATAGTAAAAGGACTGGGGATGTGGCTCAGGGTAAAGCACCTCTGGGTTCAATTCTGGGTACTTGTGCCCCAAAATAAATGAATGAATAARTTGGATTCTGAATCRATTCTTTGATGACTCTGGAATAAAAAGAAGAAAAAGAAACCTAGCTGTGCCAGGAGATGTTATAGGCTTTACAGCACAATCCTACTTAATCCTCAAAATATGCCGAGAAGCAGGCTTTGCCTTCTCAACACTGCTCACACAAAAGTTAAGACTTCCTGAYGTTTAAACCAGTCACATCAAGAAGTTGTGCTTACGTGAGCTCTTCTAGTGCTCTCTGTGTGATCATCTTTAAAACATCATCAGCAAACACATGAGTTCCCTCTGAGCACTGCAATGTATTACTGAGATTAAAGGTCACAATAAAGTGTTCTTTTCTTTCTTTTTTCTTACTCTGGTATTCAACAGAGAGATAATTAGGAGAAAATAAGAACATCATGGACATGTTGAACTATTTATACTCCCTTCCCAAGTTCATCTTGTGAATATATTTTTCTTAAATAACATATAACTGGAAGTCACAATCTGTTACAAAATATTGTCATCATTAACATATGTGAGGTAATGATTTCTTCTATATAAAATTCTGGGTTTATAAAAGGTATTATAAATTTTACTTTTTTTTAATAAAAAGAAACTGACGTGATAAAAATCAGCTTCAAATTTTGGGGGAGTCAATCATTCTGCAGCACCTTGCTGAGAAGGGCCTTGCTGAGAAGGGCCTTCACTGCACAAGTGTCTGTGACCAAGACAAGAATGTGGACAAACCCAAGTGAGGGCTGTCRTGGGAAGGAATGACAGGGCCACCTGGCAACCACAGGGAGAGCACTTGGATTCTCTGGGGCTGTTCACCAGGTACCTGCAACCTTCTGGGAGAAAGGGAGATAAAAAAGGAACGCCAGACTCCTGGTCCAAAGAAAAGGGCATGACTTTGGAAGCCCTGGCACTGCCAAAGCCTGGGCTCCTATGGGGTCTGGGAGCACACAGATGCTACCTTCTGATATGGGGTCTGTGAAAAGACACACACCCACCCTGACCTTAGATGACACCAGAGGCTGGAGAGGGACATCATGCAGCCAGGGAAGGGCTCCAGGAGACCAAGGGGCCACTCCCATCACATGTGGCATGGAAGCCACTGAGTGGGCACAGACTGCTCGGTCGAGCTTCTCAGTGGCAGAGGGGACACCACTTGCATTGGTGCCGAGCTCTCTGCTTCGGTTAATCTCGTATCCTAAAACCCACTCTGCTTCTCTTTCTCCTAGGCTTCCCCTGTCCTTTTGAAAATGAAACAAAAACAACCACCACAACCATTTTTACATCATTGTTATGTTTTTCTTTTTAATAAAAAAATGGTTTTGTTTCATTTATTTTTTATTTTTAGCTTTTTTGTTACAGTTTCTTTCCCCATATATTTTCAAAATCAAAAGACCACACTTTAAAGACCCATTTTTTGAGAAAATTTTAAGTTAAAACCTGTGGATAAAATATGTCCCAAGTGATTGACTGTAAAGCGCTTCCTGCTTTGCAACTACCTTCCCCTAACTTATGCCCCATAAATCTTGAATTTTGAAAACATTTCCAAATTTCTTTGCTTAATTGATTTTTTTCATATTTGTTCATTACAAATTAATTTATTAAAATATCTGATTCATGAGCTATAACCAGCATCACTATACTAAAATGATACAAGTTTAGGCTGGAAAAAATGTTTTAGTTAAGACTGGGCAAACTTACACAGATAATTCTTTTTTTTTTTTTTTTTTTAGTATAAAAAAACCCTTCTTATTAAAGTGCAATATTACCTTTTGAAATGCTGAAAATTCTCAAACACATTACCTCATACCTTTGGTTCCAAAATCCACTCTGCCACCTAACCCAAACTAAGCCAGCTGTGGCTGGCCCAGGCTGATGCTGACTTAATTAACACCCAAGAAATACAAAAGCAGGATATAGCAGCCCAAATTGCCAAATCAGATATCCCAAATGGCCCCAAACCTAAAACTTTTTGAGCATCAACAAGTGGAAAATTCCACACCTGACCTCACGTGATGGGTCACAGTCAACATGGACATGCATGAAAAATAGTGAATAAAATTACATAGATTATATATGAAACATAAATGAATTCTGTGTTTAGATGTAGGTCCCAGACCCAATATATGTCATCGTGTATGTGCAAATACTCTGAAATCCTAGAGATCTGAAACTGAAAACTTCTGGACCCAAGAATTTCAGATGAGGGATTCTCAACCTACAGTAACAGTGGTTAAAATTTGGGACTCTGAAATCAAGAGGGTCCCAAGTGTTTTGAGGTTGATGCTTTGAGGTTGTATGACCTTGAAAGAGGTAGCACATCTGCTGCAGGCGTTTGCAGTGAGCATTAAATGAGACAATGACCACTATGCACTAAGCACAGCCCGTGGCACACAGCAAGGGCCCCTGACTGACGCACATCTTGGAGACAGCATCTCTGGGAGGTCTGAGGCACAGCAGAGATCCAGAGAGGGACATGTTTTTTAGCTGCTTTCTAGAGTGCAGTTTGAACCTAGGGTAATTCATCAGGCAAATCTAAGGACAAGTCCCTTTCAGTTGCCCATCAGGGCAAATGCAAATAAGAGCACAGCCTCGACTTACAGTTGTAGCACAGGAGCAGGCCGGCYTCTCCGTCTTCATACACATCAATAGCTGCAACAAAATTAACCTGCAATGACAATGGGCAGCGGTAGTGGCGGGTGGGACAATGACACTTGGAAAAGACTTTCTCAAGCTGCAGGTGTCTGGTGGCACCCTTGGCCCTCTGACACTAGGGTGCTGTGCTGTCTTTTGGCCTCAGCAGTGCCCAGAGCACCACCTGGATATGTTCACTGGAGGCGTGAAATACGGGAAAGGTGCCACTTCCCCCTCACCCCARGACGTCCTCGCTGCCTTCTCATGCCCTCAGGAAAGTCTTGCTCACCAGCATTTCTGCCTGGGAATTCATTTCACACTCACACCAGCCCTGGAAAGTGGATGGCACTACTCCCATTTTACAGATGACAAAAGTGAGGCTCAGGGAGGTGGTCAAGACCTCAGCTGGAAAGTGCCACAGACTCCTATTGAGGAGCCTGTGAGACAACTTGTGCAGGCATTGTGCACAAGGCCTGGTACTTATAGACGCTCAGTGGAGCCTTATGGAGCCTGTTCCAGTGAGCGCACTCTGTGAGGACACAGTTGTTGGGTCCTCTCAGACCCCTGAGGGTCCCAGTGGGTGGTGGGCAGTTTTATTACTCCCTCAGCTCGAGGCTGTGCTGCAGGAATTTGTCTGCTCAGCCAGACTGAGCTTTCTGAGGGAAGGGGCTGTATGCTACTTTGCCAGACCTGGGTCCCTGCCCCTCACCTTGTGCTGACTGTGGAGACAAAAGCATGCTGGGTTCAAGGGCATGGTCTTTGGAGTCAGGCAGATTGGCTTCCATCCTGCCTCTGCCACTTAATAGCTATGTAACTTGAACCTCAGTTTCCCTTTCAGGATTCTAAGACATAATGCCATGACATGCTATAAAATGGGGCTTGGTATGGAGAAGCACTCATTCAGTGGTGGCGTGATTATTGTAATTATGGAAAACCTAACCGCAGGGGCACAGAGACCTAGACAGCCTCTGGTTGGGTGATAGAGCCTGTGAGTTGTTTGGGGTGGGTGGGGTGGGAGGCTGTGTCAGCAGAGGGGGATATGCAGGAAGCCTTCTAGACGAAGGTCCGTGCCCTAAGCAGGGGACCTGGGGGTGAGGGGGGGAAGCTGGCCTCAAGCAAGTCCAGCAAGGGGTTGCAGGACTGCTGACAGATGACCAGATTCAGGTGGTAGGGCAGGTGGGCTCCAACCCCAGGGGAGTTCAGGGACATAAGACCATGACTTGGACTTGACCATGTTCTCCTTGGGTATTGCCACTCTGATCAGACCTTCACTAGCATTCACCACAATGAGACCCCTTTCATGCTTTGACACATATACCTGTCTGCATCCTAGGAGTGGGCCTGGGAGGTGTCACTCCCCAGCACTGTTTTCCTAACCAGGTGAGGATACCAGACTCAACTGTGGTGCTTTAAAACCTATATTTCTGGGTTCTTGCTCCTAGAGACCCCTATGGAGGAGGTCTGGGGTAGGCCACAGGGTTGAATTTTTAATTGATTAAAAATAATAGATCTTGGGCTGGGGTTGTGGCTCAGTGGTAGAGCGCTTGCCTAGCACGTGCGAGGCCCTGGGTTCAATCCTCAGCACCACATAAAAATAAATAAAATAAAGGCATTGTGTCCAACTGCAACTAAAAAATAAATTTAAAAAAATTCAAAAAAAAATAACAGATTATAGGGGCCAGGGTTGTGGCTCAGTGGTAGAATGCTCGCCTAGCATGCGTGAGGCACTGGGTTTGATCCTCGGCACCACATAAAAATAAAATGAAGGTTAAAAAAATTCCTCTTTTAAAAAAAGAAGTAGATTGTTTTCTTGGCATTTTAAAATCTTAAAAGTAACATGGTGGGTTAAGGTTGTGGCTCAGTGGTRGAGCCCTCGCCTAGCACATGCGAGGCTCTGGGTTCAATCCTCAGCACCACATAAAAATAAATAAATAAAATGAGGTATTATGTCTAACTGCAACTAAAAAATAAATATTAAAAAGAAAAGTAACATGGTGGTTGTAAAAATCTCAAACACAGACTTGCAGGAAGTAGAGTCTGGCCCTGCTGCCCCTTGTCCAAGTTGGTAGAGGCAGCTGCTATTGGCTCAGTGGTCAACCCTCCCATGGGGTTCTAAGTTAGCCCAGCTGAGAACCACTGGGCTCTGGGTGGCTGAAGATAGGATATGGGCCCAGTTTCAACTGGAACCCCAGGTCCAGTTCCCAGGACTGCAGTTCCTTCCAGAGTATACCCTGGTTTGGGGAATGAGGCCAAGGTTGGCTGCTAGAGCTGGGGCAGTAGGTCACTGTAGGCCTACTGGTATAGGCACCTACTGGTACAAGCACTTTGCTTTCAGGATGCTGTTTAGTGCTTAGACCTGCCTTCTCTCAAACTGGGATTGTCTCAGAACCTGAGGTGGAGTGAATCCTGAAATGGGAATCAAGTGGTGGCTGGGAAGAGGGGAAGAAAGGGGTAGGAAACTAGGCCACTCTGATCAGTACTGGCACACTGCAGAGCTGGCACCAGCGAGTGCCACTTCATGAGCTGAATCCCCACGACTCTGCACTGGCTCTCTGCATTGTTGTGGAGGATAAGAACCTCTTGGTAAAGGCCAGTCTGTTCCTGATGGGTCTGCTTCTCACTAACTTTCACAACCATGCTGCTCACCACCTTTTCCACTCTCTAGGACCTAGCGCCCCAATTAGACAGCAAGTTCCTTGCAAAGAGGCATAACTGTGTACACCTTGGCACATGCCTGTTTAGAGAGGGCTCCACAGATGCCCGTGTGCTGCTGGAAGACTGTGCACACTGACCATCTCCCAGTCAGGACCCAGAGAAGGGCTGTTTTTCTTTTTTCCTTAATTTTTTTTTTTTTTTTTTTTGCTTTTTAAAAAGCACATTGAAGAAAAGAGAATTTTAGAATTATTTTCTACTACTGTCATAAAAACAAAATGTGGAGGTCATCAAGGAAAACTGATTCAAACCCAATTTTTCCTGGGCTTTATGAATCAAAAGAAAAAAATTCAGAAGCACTCTAGTGAGTGATCAGGGTATATAAGCACACAATAACTGTCATGTGAAAGAATTTAATAAAATGATTTTTCTCTATACTAACCCTGATGAATAATCATTAAATGGTACAATTACCAACCACTAGAGTGTGATTTGTTTTAAACCAGAACATGCCAGGAAGTGTCTCTGAAATAAGATGAGTACTTGTCCACTAGAAAAGTCATGTCAAACTGGGCATGGTGATGCACGTCTGTAATCCCAGCTGCTCAGGAGGCTGAGATAGGAGGATTGTGAGTTCAAAGCCAATCTCAGTAAAAGTGAGGTGCTAAGCATCTCAGTGAGACCCTGTCTATAAATAAAATACAAAATAGGGTTGAGGATGTGACTCAGTGGTCATATGTCCCTGAGTTCAATCCTTGGTACCAAACAAACAAACAAATAAATAAAATAAAATAAAATAAAAAAAGAAAGAAAGGAAAAAGAAAAGGCAGGTCAAGTCCTGGGAGACTGGTTGTCAGGGACAAGACAGACTGAACATAGACCTGAAGACCATGATCTTTTTGCCTCTTTTTGTGGGTCAGATAGAGTTCTGGAAAGCAAGAATGTGGCAAGAATTTCAAAGGACCGATTGGGCTTTCTTTGAGAACTAAGTGGGCTGGTGGAGGTCACAGGCCCCTGAGAGAGGCCCAGGCTACTGCTGGCCCAAGTTTCCAGTGACACAGGTTCTGGCTACTGTTGGGGTGGAGAGGCAGAGCKGCAGAATAGAATCCTTCTCCCGCGCCCTGGGGAAATTAAAAAATCTTGGTTCCCAAGTAAATTCTGATTTGATTGTCCTGCCTGGGGTCAGAACAATGAGCTTTTTAAAGTTCCCAATTGCCACCAGGGTGGAGAAGGATGACAGAGCACACCACTGGCTCCACACTTGGCTGAACATTAAAATCACCTTTAAGACTCCCCCAGCCCCTGTCACCTCTCAGACCAGTGAGATCTCTAGGGAGGGACATGAGCATTGTGGCTTTTAAAGCTCCTCCAAGGACTCCAACTGCAGTCAGTCTAGGAAGCACCAAYACAGAGAGGAGAAATGCCAGACTCCTTTGCGATGGAACACAGCTGGAGACAGAAAGACTTCCTAATTAGATCTAGATCTTTCTACTTCCAATTTTTCTGTTCTCTTAAAACCTTGCTCTAATTAGGTCCTAAGTTTTCTTAAAATAGTAATTTAGCAATTTTTTAACATCTTTTAAAAAAWTTTTAGTTATCGATGGACCTAATACCTTTATTTCATTTATTTATGTGGTGCTGGGGATCGAACCCAGTGCCCCACGCAGGCGAGGCAAGTGCTCCACCACTGAGCCACAACCCCAGCCCAGTAATTAGAAATTTTAATGAATATTTAGATAGAACACATACCAGTACTATTTATAAAGCCCAATTGGAAGGAGTTCTATGGTCTGATTCAGTGAAACAGGTCTGGGGTCGGCCTGTGGGCTTGGAAGCCCTCCTGAGGAACTCTATTTTCTTGGGGGTAATGCCCCCTTTCTGCTTGTCCTTCGTAACTAAGCAGGATGCTGGTTCACAGTGGACCATGTGAGCTTCAAGCAGCTCCATCTATCAGGCTGTCCCCAACCTCATAGTGGTTAACAGCCTGAAGAGCTCTGTGACGTGCTAAGGTCATGTGAAGCCATCCCCAGTGCACAGGTTCCAGGCCTCAGGGTGGTGAGTGCTCACCTCTGTGCAATAGAGACCTCACACAGTCATCATTAAAGCTACAGAACAATTTTGGTGGCCCTAGATTGCCTCAAAACAGAAATCCTTGTTCTCCCTGCATCCTGGGTCAGGGATGTGAACCCCCAGTGCTGACCTGCTCTCACTCTCCTAATGGGGTTCTGCCCYATCTTTCTTTCTTCTGGGCCCCTAAGGGGCTGGAGAAGGGTGCTATGACCATCATAGCCACCTAGTCCCCAAGCTGTGAATCTGCAGGGCCACAGAGAGCAAGCTTGATTTCCAAAGGCCTTCCCTGGATGCATTAGCAATCTACTATTCTCATTTATTTTGTTAGTTATATTCTGCTTTTGATTCTCCCTGTCATTTATTTGGAAATATACAGAGGCTTGATCTGGGTGGCTGAGATCTGGAAAAGCTGAGCAGGGCAACAGGATGGTTGTTATTAGATGAATCTTTCTGATCTACAAAGATGGCAACTTCATGTAGTTCAGCCTAAATAGCATGTTACAAAATACAGATACACAGTATGCAATCAGAAAGAAATCAGAGTCACRGCATCCGAAGTTAGAAGACACGCCTCCTCATCTCTCCTGGTTCCCACTGTCCCTGCAACCATCGCCTTACCCTGCTGGCCTCCACATGGTGCAGCCTGAAGGCTTCCCCTGTGCTCTCGTTCACCACATCAAACTGGTGTCGGTAAGCCACGCAGATGAGGTTGTCGCTTTCTTCTGTTGGCCCATCCACCAAGGTCATCACTGCAGGGGAGTCGGACAGACAGATCTCCTGTGTGGGTGATGATGAGTAGGAGACAGGTTAGGACAGGAGCAGCCACCATCATGTCAGCCTCCACCCCCTGCTGTCTCCTTCCAGAAGAGGTCCCTGCAGAKGCCTGTGCTGCAGGAAGGCAGGGTCAGGGTGGGGAGAAGGAGCCAGGGGTCCTACCACACTACTGCCTCCCATAATCTGTCCTTGAGACCTCTATTACAAATTGGATCCTAAGTTACGGTGGGTTTTAGCCTTCATGCAGTCTGTTCTGGGATTGCAATAATAATTGCAAGTAACACATGCCAGGCGCAGTTTCATTGAATCTTTTTAACGAGCCCTTGTAGTAGGTATGGTGGTGTTCTAGTTACAGATTAGGAAACTGAGGCTCAGAAGTCAAGCAATTGGCCCACAGTCAGAGTTCATACATGGTAGACAGAGCCAAGATTTGAACTTGGGAAATCTGACTTCAGTCACACTATCTACGTAAACATTCATTAAAACAGCCAACTAGGTTGGCCGAAGAAGTTTGACACCTAGTTGGACCAAGATTTTAATTTGTTTTAAGTGTCATGCTGTTCTGTCCCTCTCAACTGAAACAGAAACTGATATTATAATCCAGGCCTAAATCAAGGCAAAAATAATTTCTCAGCTCACCTATAGAAACACTCAGCTTTAATGTCCAATGTTGTCCTATTTCATAGCTTAATGTGCTGTACTTGTGAAAAGATATGAGACGGGAAGCTGAGGGAAGGGACTTTACCTTCAGGGGTGTCTCTCCCAAGGCTGCACCTCAAAATCTACCAACATACCTCTGACAAGGGTGAGCAAGGTGGCTCTTCCCAGAGCTTCTTCCCACCTCTCCAGCCACCAAAACCACTGCTGTCTTGTGCCTACATGGGTCTCCACTCTTGGCCCCTGTGCTCTCCTCTACCTGGTGACCAGACCATCATTGTTTCTTTTCTTTATTTCCCTTTTTTTGGGAGGGGGTGGTACTGGGGATTGAACCCAGGGRCACTTTACCACTGAACTACATGCTCTGCCAGTCCTTTTTATTTTTTTTGAGATAGGGTCTCACTAAGTTTCTGAGGCTGGCCTCAAACTTGCAATCCTCTTGCCTCAGCCTCCTGAGTTGCTGGGATTACAGGCATGTACAACTCTGCCAGAACCATCTTTTAAAAACATGCACATCTCTGCTTCAAACCTCCAGGAGCTTCCCATCCCGCTCAAGAGCCCAAACCAATAGCCTTATAAAGGGCCTCAGGGTGCTAGAGAGTCTGCTGCCTGCCATGGCCCCTCAGTTCCAGCCGCCCACGTCTCTGGAGTAGGCCTTCCATAGGCCTCAGGGCCCTTGGTTTACAGCCTCCTGCCTAGAATACCCTTTCCCCAGGTATCCTCATGGTTCACTCCAYACCTATTGTGGGTCTCTACTTGGAGGTGACCTTTTCAGGGAGGGCTTGTTGGTTCATCTAAAACAGTGATCCCAATTCCCTGCTTCATCAGCCTCTGTCCCCCTACCTGACTTTATTTTTATTCTTAGTATCAAGCCATCACAGATTCTTTAAAAAGCTATGCCGGTGAGCACAAAGGCTTTGCTTGGGTCACAGCTGCATCTTCTTGGTGCCTAGCATGGTCCCCCCTGGGTTTCCTGCAATGAATAAGCTTTTACCTTTGACTTGTGGCATAAATGAGGGTGCCAGAGATGAGGGCTCCCTAGCTGGTCACTGAACAGTCTCATGGCTGGAAGGAGGGAGTGATCTCATGACACCCTGGTTCTGAGAGAAGCCATGGGAAGAGAAAACCTACCCTGATGTACTGGAATTCTTCAACAGGTGACTCCGACAGGGGAGATAACAATGAGACACCAGTCATCGCACTTGGCTTGTTGTGTTTCCTTGTGATTAGAAGCAGTTTATTCCGAATTGCAACTACGATCCTCAGTTCTCTGCTATGGTGAGTATTTATGGCATATAGGTGGCAGCCTGGGAAGAAAAACGGATGATACGCAACACACGACAAAAGGGTTTGAAAGTTCCCAGGCCTTGACAATTTGGAAGTGGTTCCTAAGAACCCTGGGAAGTAGCATAACTCAGGAAATGAACTAAGAATGTTTCTGACACCAGGCAAAATGGAGACCTGACATGCAAATGAAATAGAATTAAGAGAGTTATATTCCTTCAGTGTGTGGACATGGCTCCTACCTATTACAGGACAGGACTTAGATGGAGGGTAATCTGAGCTCTAGGAACCAGTCTAAAAACATCTTTACTCCCAAATTTGATAATGGAGGTTGACTCACCTCCAAGACCTGTAATGCAGTGCCTCGGATTTCTCCTAGTCCTCAATATGCTTTTCTATCTTTCAAGCTTCTTAAGGAAACCTAATTCTATCTTTATAATGTTTGCAAGTAAAAAAACAAACCAATAAAAACCAAATTTCTACTCATTTTACTTTAAGTAAAACTTGGATAGCCTAAGATAAATAAATGAATTGAACAGAAAYAGCCAACAGGAAGATCCGAGTCACCTTTGGTTTTCTCCAGCTTGTTCTCTCTGCAGTCGGAGCGGCCCCTCCCAGTCTGCCTGCCTTCGAGGCCCTTCTGCACAGCGCTCAGCCTGAAGACAAAGAGGCGGGCATCTTTCCCTGGTGACAATGGGAAGAGGGCAGATTAGATGGTCAGATAACAGGACCTGGAGGAGTTCCAAGGTTGGACAGCAGGGAACAGGGCAGGAGGTATTCTGAAATTCAATACACCCCATGCCACCCTTACTCACGTATCATGGATGCGCCCCTCTTTCCTCCACTGCTCTGCCTCACCCTGAATAAATGGGCCACCAAAAGGCCCCAGTACTGACACTGGGAAAGAAACTGGGGCCCAGCCTATGCAGTCAAACCCCAGTCACCCTTGGTGTAGGCTGAAGAAGGCCACCTGTTTCCTCCCTCCCAGAGCATGCCACCGAGGTGGTACCACCTTTGTCTGCTCTGAGAACCAGAAGATCCAGAGTCTCCAGCACATGCATCTGCTTCACTGGCAGAGTTCTGTCAAACACAGGCACGGATGGAAGGTCGTCTGGAAGAGAAAGCTGGTTACTGGCTCCTGCAACTGGTTATCCAATCCCACAATCTGGTTACCAGCCCCTGCAACTGTCCTGTGCTTTGCAACCCATGACAAGTGCCTGCTGGGGAAGGGGCCTGGTTCTTTCTAGGTAAGCAGGAGCAGGCTTCTAGAGCTCTCACAAAGTCCGTAGGGCAGATGAACCCTGAGCACTGTGTTCTCAGCTCAGGTAGAAGCAATGATAAGCCCTTCCCCAAGGCATCCAGAACTCGACAGGGCATAGCAGCAAGGACTTGAAAACTATATTCTTTTCCTCAGTGATCAAAGAAAAATCAACATCTCTCAATCACATTTTATTGGAGTTGTACCAAAGGACTGAACACTCAAAGTAAAAAAAGAAAAAAAAAAAGAAAAGAAAAGGAATAAAAACATCCATTTCTCTTAAATGTTTTCTTATTTTCATGTACCATTTGAAAGTATATCATATTTTAGATCATTTTGTATATTTCTCAAGAAAGCAAAATTAAATTTTCCTTTTTGTATTTAAAATGGATACAGATATATCCACCCTATCTTAGCATGCCACGGGTCTGCATCAACAGTAGTTTGCTTATAAATTTTCAATATTTTTCTATACAGAAAACTGAAATCTCCTTTTTAGATAAAAATAAAATAATAGAAAAATATCAATTAAGTTGTGCAAATAATAGGAAAAACTAATATAAGTGTAAATGCTCAGAAAGATTTAAGGTCTAACTGGATTAAAAATGTTGCAATTACTCACAGGATTTGTTTTTAAGGTTACTTACTGGGAACTTAATGGCTAATAATTACTTTGTCTCTGGGGGACCCTAGTACACAGGGGACTAAAGAATGACTTAGGGTGTTCCAYAAGCCAGAGTGCCAAGCAGAGGTGAACAGGCAGAGTGTAGTCATTTTAGGCAGAGGTGCCCAGCTCGTTCTTCATCTGTATTTGTCTTTAAGGGCTCTGCTGTGGGTTTGGGTTGGTTTGCTTCATTATCATTTAGGTGCAAGGGGCCCTAAGGATCTTGCCTCTTTCAGAAATCCAAGTGTAGCTGGGAGTCATCCTTCCCTGAATGAGATGAAAGAAGGAGCAGGACTGATAACCACCCCAGGTATTAGGTAGTATGGAGGGGGTCTTCTGCTTCTGCAGGCCTGGGAGGTTCTGATTTGTCACAGCATAGAGGCTGCTAAACTCATATTAGGCAAATGGCCTGTCTCTAGTTCCCCTCAATCACACAGGGCTTTCCTCCAGGTTCCTCTTTAATTCCTGGGGTAGATGTAAATTTTATGACAGCTCAGCAGCCACTTTCCTTCCTCCTCTACGCGAGGCCTCCACAAAAAGGAATAGATTCTTAGGGTCTTTGTAGTGCTACCAGTCACACTTAATTACTCAGAACATGAGATGATCACTAAAGAAGTTACCACCATATTTGGCTAAATAACTAGAATTATTTCATTTTGCGGGATAACTGCAGCATCAGCAAGGGCAGATCACACATTCTAAGTGCTTACTACTTGCTAGACCCTCATGCTTGGAGTTTTGTCTGTTATTTAATTGAAATGTTCCCGTGACCTCATTAGGTGTGGACTTGTAAAATTCGCATTTAACAAATGAGGAACCTGAGGCTCAGAGATGTTGAGAATGTGTCCACTCTTTAACATGTGGAGCCATGAGTGATGACATAACTTCATTTTACATTGAAAACAGGTCCACTGCCTGCTGCATGCCAAGCTGCACACAGAGCAGGTGAGCATTTATTTCCCATCAACCATTCTCAGAGGGCTGAACAGGTTTATACACAGCACAGGAAGGCAGAGCAGTGAGGACAGAAGAAAGGAACAGGTGGGTTTAATGGCTGCCAGATAATTTTTTCCTTCCTGTAATCTCTGTATGAAGAAACAATCTTTCAGAGTCAGCTTTTCTATTACTGTAAAACCCAAATGCATGGCAATAGCATATTTAGTCAGTACTCAGGTCCTTTCAAAATAGGTTTTGCTATACTAGAGTGCAAGGGACCTTAATTTTTAACAATGACCTTGACAGGAGCATACTCTCAAGGGGTAAATCTAATGAAATTAAGCAAAGGCTAATGGGATATAGTGGAACTCAGACTGAAACGAAATGGACAGATTCACTCAGAGATGACTCATAATATGATTAAGTGTAGACCGAAGAAGATAAACAAAGAAATTGGAGAATTATGGCACAATAAGGAGYACTCAGCAAGCCTCAGGGTTATTCTCCTTTTTAGCAAAAACAAACAGGGAAGAACTACTGCATAATCAGGACTTGAGAAACATGATCTGTGTAATAAATCTAAGCTGGTGGTGGATGTTTACAGCCATCACCAGACGAAGATGAACGACTTCTTCCAGGTTTGGAAGAATAGAATTTCCTAGAAAATCACAATAGTCATTATGCCTGATACCATTGTCAAATTTTAAATCCATAACTATGAAAATTTCAGCAAGGGTTCTGGTAATCTCAATTTGGATTTTACATTTCTAAAAAATASAATTTCTTCTGATTTAGGTAAGCCTTATCAATATTCATAGTGAAATATGTGTTTCATTCCCAAAAAGGCAAACAGAGGACCTAATGCTCTTTTAATCACAAAGTTTTTTAAAAAAATATTTATTTTTTAGGTGTAGATGGACACAACACAATGCCTTTACTTTTATGTGGTACTGAGGATCAAACCCATGTCCCTCCTGTGCTAGGCGAGTACGCTATCGCTGAGCCATAATCCCAGTCCCTAATCACAAAAGTTTTAATACTTATTTGACCAGGACTATGTTTTCGGAAATCTGTGTCAAGGTAGAGATGAAAACATCAGTGGTGTTTAATTTAGTATTAATGGAATGCAGTTAGTGGAAAGAACACTGGATTAGGATCACATTTGAGTCCTGGTTCCAGATATGCCACCCACCAGCCAGCTGTGTGATCTTAGACAAGTCTCATTTCTTCATCTACAAAACAGACTGAAATGAGCCTTTAAGGCCATTTTTTTAAAATAAAAAATTTTAGTTGTACTTTTGGCAAAATCTAAGGATTTTGTTAACTTTAAGCAAATTCCTAAGAACATAGTAAAGGTTACAGCTGTCATTTAGTAAACTGCTACTAACGTGTGCCTGATACACTTTAAACACTTAACAAAGGTTTAACCTACAGCCCTTACAATCCTCTCCTTGCAGTTATAATCATCATCCCCAAAGAATGTCATCAGTTTTCATTATTATAAACAATTTTTCAGCCTCTTTAAGAAAAACTACCCCCCACTTAGAGAAACTCAAGGCTCAGAGAGGTTAATTTCCTTTTTCTTACTTTTTTTCCTTTTTTTTTTTTTTTAGTGCTAGGGATCATACCCAGGGYCCTGCTTGTGTTAGGCAAGCACTCCCTAGCCCCAGCCCTGGATTCTCTCCAAGATCACAAAGTTTCTAAATTAAGGATTTAAAATCTGAACAGATGAATTTAAAATGAGCTGCCTTTTATTAAATCTGTTGTAGATATGGTTAGATTACGGGCACACGACCAAGACACACAGCGAAAGTATCAGGACAGGAAGCCCCGTAAGCACTGCCTCTCTCTAGCTGCGCTCCAGCAGGGGCCGGCACAGAGCAGGTACTTCATGTGCTGAGCAAGGGTCTGAAGGAGGGAGTAAATGTCCTGCCAAAGGACAGCAGGATGCTGTGCTCTTAGGCCATCACGTGAATCTTATAGTGGTGGCTTTCAGGTTCTCATAAAATGGTAACCTAAGATTCGACAGTAGCTTCTGTGCAGTCTGAGGTGCTGTCTCTGTGTCTATGGCTGTCACTGAAGCCCCAGGAGGTGACCTGTTGCCAGAGTTTAGCTCTTTTTGCCATTTATTAGGAGTCTGGAATAATYGAAACAGGCCTGTTGTTGGAAGGGGCCACACTGTCCTAGAGTCTACATCCCCCTCTGTCGGAAATCTCCCCTCCTGCTCCCCAGCACCCTAGCCCAGGGCAAGCTCCAGGTGGCTGGTCTGTTTCAGGGTGCTCTCTTCCCAGTTTGATTTTCTATTGAGTTGAAATCTGCCTCCCTGTCAAAATATTTGTTTCTCTATCCATCAAAAATGGTTTATATAAGAATCTTACCATTTCTTTTGGACACCAAGTACTTTTTGAATTAGAAACTTAAAAAAAAAAAAGGCTTTGCAAGAATAAGTTCCTGAGAGAGTGGCTCTATATTTTCTGATTTAGATAAAATGCTGGGACCAGGATAAGTATTGGCTGTATCGGAGATTCTTACATTTAATATCCATGGACTAATGAGAGATRTGGGAGGAACCTAAGGCTCACTCACCCTCCAGCATGCCTGGTTCAGGATATATACCCTCTGCTTGCCTTGAAAACAAGGTATTAGTTTTATAAGGAAATCAGACTTTGCTAACACCCCGGTGGACCATGCATTCAATGGGCTAAAGAGAGTTGATTGGGAGTCACCCATATTAGAAGTACTACGAGTCCCACAAATAAAGACATTTGTAGAAGCAGCTACTCACTAACCATCCACTAGCAAGACGCCAGCGTCAGTGGAAACCAGCAAGGCCTGGCCCCAGGGATCTGCGCACACAGCTTCGTGAGGGAAATTACTGCAGAAACACTGGGGCTCCCAAGGCTGCGAGGCAACACAAGCATCGGAAAATGAGTGCACCAGGAAAATACATGGCAGCCCCCAGGTGGAAAGGACAGAGAGCAGACGCCTGAAACAGCAACACAGATGCGCCATGGGAGTGGTCACGCCAAACCCTGGTTGCTCTGGGGTCTGGACTCAGTCATCTTCCTCAGGAGGAAGATCTCCTTTCAAATCCATATGCAGTGGGAAAGCAGTGAATCCACATTTCTGGYGCCATGACCTGTCCGTGTGATAATGACATTTCTGGGACAATCAAAACATTGGTAATATCTCAGTAAATGGTTTTCTTTTTTTTTTCAGAGTAGAAATTAGAAGTTTATTAAAGGACAGCAGAAAAGACTTCTCCCGGAGGAAGAAGGGGACCCAAGAGGTAGAATCCAAATGGTTTTCTTTAACACCTGGAGGTTGGGCCAATTGGCACTTTTTTCTTTTTCTTTCTTTCTTTTTTTTTTTTTTAAAGAGATTAACATTAGTTCATCATAAAAGCAGGTACCACATAACTTCAAAATTGTGATTCCTGTGTTGCTGATTCAGTAAAATCATTCAATCATGCATAATGCAAGAATTGATATTATCTTAATATGAAAATGCTTATTGATCAATAAGGCTACAAAATCTTAAAGAAAAATATAATAATAATCTGTTGCCAACAAAATGACTCCTGTTCCCCCATGTGACCTGTTCAAACTACATGAATTCTTCTTTGAATCTTAGTTTTATTTTCATTTTAGGCATAAGGAGTTATTATTCTCAGTTAGACATAAGGGCCCGGTGTGGTCCACCTGTGTGTGCACACACAGTTGTGCCTGTAAGTACCCAGTGAAGCCATGCTTGCACCCTGAGAGTAGAAGAAAGGCTCTCTGGACCACCTTTAGAGTCCTGGGCACTGAGGGTAGACATTGTGTCTTATTTCTAGCTCAGAAGAGAAAAATATGCTTCCCCTTTAGGAAACCCACAGCATTGAAAAAGAATATCCTAACTGCTAAGATAGACCTGCACTGTTCCAAAAAGATTGCCTAAAGAATGTGAAAACATTTTATAACCTGAAGAAGGGCTACACAAGAGCATATCACTAATTGAAGTGGCATTTCCCCAAGAGGAGTTCTGGCAATTCTGAGCTTGACACTTGTAGCAAGAGGACATGAAAAAGCAAAGCCAATACAAATGTCATCCAGGAGACAGACACAGAAACCAGTGCATGAGATAACACTGAGAAAGAACAACCAAGTCTTTGTTTTCGGACCAAGTTGGGGATACTCAAGGAGAAAGGGGTTTTCACCCTAGGATCTGGGGACCCTAGAGGATCCATGGGGACTGAAGGAGATCTGTAAAACCCCAGAACTTGCATCTAAAATGTTCTGAATGTGCCACTGACATTTCAGTATATGTGGGTGTCCATGGTGAGCATGTGTTCTCAGAGTGCCAGTGACCAGGAGATCTCAGGAATCACTCTCAAGGCATGGAGTGTCAGTGATTGACTCAGATTCAGCCACACAGAGGCTCTGCTCTGAGTATGGGCAGTGTTTGCCCATGCCCCAGACCCCTTCTCCCAGGCGAGAGGCTTGTGCAGATTTTGTGGAGTGGGAATGTGGCCCAAGTGCAGGACTTCTGGGGGGCTCCTCTGAGAATACCAACACAGATCACGAAACAGTGGATGCCCAGGACATTGACAAAGCCCAGTTATTTGGAAACAGATGGCTCTATGGAACAGCACGAGGGACTGTGGCTTCTGCAGTGCCAAGTGACAAAGTTAGTGGGGTCCTCTAGAGCAGTGCTTCTCCAAGATGGCCCATGGCAGGTTATAAGCCAACCGCAACAAGGAGGTTGCTCTTTGTTGTTCACTAGTGAACAAGTTATGGGACAACAGACCTTTTTTTAAAAAAATATTTTAGTTGTTGATGAACCTTTATTTTATTCATTTATTTATATGTGATGCTGAGAATTGAACCCAGTGCCTCACACATGCAATGTGAGCACTCTACCACTGAGCCACAATCCCAGTCCTATATCTAAGAACTCCTTAAGTATGTTATTGAATTTTCCTGTAATTTGGTATTTACAAAGTGCTTGAAAACACTGTTCTATTCTATACAGAAAGAGACAGTGGAAATTTCTGCTTCTTGGGAAAGAATGCTTTGCCATATATATTGTCTGAAGTTGTTGGTGGTTTTTGGGCATCCACTGCATTTGAGCTCATCATTTTTCTAAAGCAAACTTTAAAGTATACAGGCTCAGATCATCTGTGTCTTTATCACCTACATAAATATCTCCTTAATTCTTTTGCTTTTATAACGAATGCTTCTCTAGTGATGTACCATGTGACACTGTTCCATTTAACTAACTTACTAATTCAGAGTGTAATTAAGAACTGTAAAACAATACTGTTTTACAGTACAAAAGCATGGATGCGGTAAGCGCACACTGCAATTTGTTTTTCTTTTTTCCTGTTCTATTTTTATCACTTAGTTTTTCCCCAGGGAAAGTGAAAATAGAAAGTTAATAGACCACAGGGGTTTCTGGCTGGTGAACCATAGATTAAACAGGGGTTTCCACCTGTCTCCTCTGCGTAGCAGCCTCACCATACCCTGGGAACTAGTTAGAAATGTAACCCTTTGGCCTCTYCCAGACCTAATGGGTCAGGAACTGGGGGTGATTCATACACACACACCAGCACTGGGGAAACCCTACTCCAGGGCCTCTCTGTTTAGAGGGGGCTGTGCTCATAAGAGATGTCCACTCTTGRCCCAGTCCAGGCCTACTGCATCAGGACCTGCAGTTGGTTAGGATGGCCAGGTGTCACACATGCACAACAAGCTGGAGGAGCACTGCAGGACTGGCCTGGTTGACTGCAAGAGTCCACGGTGGAAACCCAGAGGTGCTGCCTGAATGATCTGGGCTTTCTCTGGGACTGGGTAGGAGCAGAGCTCTTCTTTCTTCCACCCCAAGGCCTTTTCCCAAGAGTCTCAATAACTTTACTGAGGACAAAGAAAATTCACAGTTTAAGTTGAAAGTATCAGCAACTCACCTCTTTTTTACAGATCCCTGAAGTGGCCAAGCTTGATGGGGCATCCCCTCTCACAATGGACTTCAGTTTTAGAGCCTTATGGGACAGAGATCTCTTTTAAGTTTGTTATCAGGCAGCAAAAGAAAAGCAGGATAAATAATTGAGATTTGAAAATAATGTGATATTTTAATAAGTGGGAGTGACTACAGGTTCATCTACTGACTCATCCCTGATGATAAAGAATGAAGCTAGTGGGACAGGGTGAAGCCCCGGTCACAATGACCTGGCCCAGATCATTTCAGTTTGTTCATCTCTAAGAACTGTGATTTCTGAGCCAGGCGTGATAGCGCATGCCTGTAATCCCAGCAGCTCTGGAGGTTGAGGCAGGAGGACTGCAAGTTCAAAGCCAGCCTCAGCAACTTAGTAAGGTCCTGTCTCAAAATAAAAAAGGGCAGGGGATGTGGCTCAGGGGTTAAGTGCTCTTGAGTTCAATCCCCAGGACACAACACACACACACAAAACCCCCCAAAACCCCCTGTGCTTTCTAAACTGTGAGCATTGAAAATACAGATTCCCAGGTCCCTTTTCAAACTTGATGGCTCAGAATCCCTGAAAGGAGAGGCAGGCATCTTTAAACAAGGACTGATGCACCTGTCTTGGAAAAAGTGATCTCTCCTCCAAGAACCTGACTGTGGGTCTCCTTCACCCCCACCCCCTCGGCTTGTGCCCTACTGCCTGTCAAACCTTATCTTAGCTGGTAGTCCCCCTGCCCCTGTTTCCCTGCTGGGATGGGGGATCTGGGAGGAAGCTTGGAGCTGAAGAGCGCTAGTATCACATGGGACTGAGGCAGAGGCAGCATGAGTTCCTCCAAGGCCTGGGACACGGGACAGCGTGACAGTGGCTTCATGGAAACAGAGTGGACATTCAGGCTTCCTGTGAGCAGAACTGCCACTCTGTGCTTCCTCTTGCCATGGGTGGGTCAAGGTAMTTTTTTCAAATTGGCTCCCTACTCTTCAGAAAATTCCTAGGAGGCAGGCAAGTGGTCCCTGCTCCCTTGAAAGGAGTGCTGTCCTCTCACTGATACCTACAGGGAACTATAGCTGTACACTCAAAAATCTCACTCATGGCTCCCATGGCAATCCTAAGAGAGATCACAGAGCTGTGGCAAAGGCAGGCAACATAAATGCTTCTGCACGTGGGCGTCTGCTTTGGATGTCTTGCAGAAGAGGTCTCAGAGTAAAACCCACCTGCCCTATTCTGACAAACTCTGCCTGGCGGGCCTCCTCTTTCTTCCGGGCTGACTTGGGCGATTCGGGTAAGACATCACTGAAAGACCGTCTGTTAAGCATGTTCTGGAAAAACAAACAAACAAAATAAGCTGTGAATTCCACAAGCAGTGGTCAAGTCCCACCCTCTGGCTTCTCTTAATGCACAGACCTGTTGTCCAGATGGTTCTATTTCTACCCTCTGTATTTATGTATTCATTCAATAAGCAATTATGGAGCACCTGTGTGCCAGGTCTGTGTCAGACTTGGGGATGAAGTGTCCACAGGTAGGAGCCCCCACTGCATAATGGCTGAGGATGTGGCCTTTGAGACCAGGCAAACCAGAGGGCCCTTGCTCACTGACTTATTAACAGTGTGACTTGGGCCACACGCTGCACAGCTCCAGGATGCTGTTCCATAGAGTGGTGCCTCAGGAACTCAACACTGAATTCTACAGGACACTACCCTGGAACTACACCTCCGAGGCCCCATGGTCATGTAGGGCAAGTGGTCAGTCTTGAGTCTGTGTAGTTGACACCTGTCTCCCAGGTGTGTTATGAGGATTAAATGAGATGGTACATGTAAGGTGCTTAGCACAGCTCCTGGTGCATCCTAGGCCAATGCTACAGTCCCTTCTAGACCATGGTGAGAGAACTGGGTACCCTCACCCACTCAGCAAGCACTGACTGAATGCCTATGCCTCTGCCAGACTTGAAGGATGTGGCAGACACTGTCTCTGTCCTTGTGGAGCACAGAGACGAGTAGGGGTGAAAGCTAGTAGCTAATGACCTGGTTAGCACAGGTGACCACTGCTATGCAAGGTAAATCTCTGGGACACAGCAGAACATTTTATAGGACTGGCTAAGGGGACTGGCTTCTACTGGAGGGTTGGGGATGCCTGCCAAGGTGGCAATAYCTCAGCTGAGACCTGAGGGGCATCGTTACTCATTGGTACCTTCCTTGTCCTTAGGAGGGAAAGGAATTGATAGATTATCAAGCCAGCCCTTCAGGGTCCTGGTTTCAGCCAGGCTGACTCCCTGAGAACTGTTACAGAGTACCAGCCAAGAAGATGGCAAGGGTACTGTAAAAGGATAGTGGTCACATCAGTTCCTTCTGATATCCTACACTTCAACTGGGTGAGAGCCAGACACCTTTATTTTACCTACATCATCAGGAATAATTATTTCTATAGGAGTTCAYGAATGAACACACAGATTCTAAGGGAATTCCCCTACTTGTCCTGTGTTTTCTTATTAAATAGGGAAATGTTTCAAACAGTGATGATGTTATTCTGCACTAATGAGTCTCTGACCCTGGTGAGCTCACATGTGCCCCTGAGGAAGGGCTGGATATCATCAGTGTGGACATACCATGGGCTAGGAAATATCTGGCACTAAGGGGCTGAAAATGCTAGTTTCAGTGCTGATTATRGAGCAAGCCAAGAAATCTTAGAAAAGTACTCCATTTCTCCCTTCCATCCCCATTTTTTGCCCAATTGTCGGCTGCATGGCATAGAAAACACTGTTTACCAAGGACAGCACTCCAAAAAGCACTCTCCAGTGCCCCAGATGTTGCTGACTGACATTCACAACCACCCCTGCTTGCACTCTGATTTCCACAGGCCTCAGCTTTGTGAAAATGCCTTCTCATGTGGGCACTCGACACCCCACTTGTTGTGTCAGCTGCAGTGGCTGCGGACAGGATCAAGGCGACACCTGTGCTTTAACCAGGGCCACATTGCTAGGACTATGATCTCAGCTCACACCCCACAGGAGGGAAGGAAGACCGTGGGCCAAGTACCTTATGCAAATCTGGCATCAGGTCCTGGTGTAAAGATCGAATCAACATGTCCAGAGTGCGCCGACGTTTCTGGGCAAAGGTTGGGGTTTCCAAGGTGGCTTTTTCRCCGTTAATTACTATGACAAAGAGTAAAAAGGGGATTGCAAACATCAGTAGCCACTGAAGAACGTTATTCTCAAGAAGACCCTTCACAGTGAATACCACCTACCTTCCCAGTACTGGTATTACCATCAATGTGACTGTCCCTTCATGGAAGAATGCTAAAAACCCTCTAAATGTCTCTGTGCCGAGACATGCAGAGTCCATARGCATGTCAAGCTTGGCTTTCTTGTAGGACTTCAAGCTTTTACCTAAATACCTTTTTAACCAAATACCCATCAACCCACCATGCATCTACCCACCCATCCAACACAAGGGGCCAAACCACCAGATGTCATTCCAACAAAATGCAGCAAATATATAACAATTGTCTCAACAGAATACTGGGATTCTTAGCCTAATGGAAGTTTCTTCTGGAAAGAAGTAGGGTTTTAGTGAATTACAGACACTAAAAGCCAATAAAGTAGAAAGTGCAGTCATGTATTACAGCAAAGAACAGGAAGTATGAGTTCAGGAATCTGAAGTCAAGGCAGTTTTGGGTATGGGTCCTGGCTTTGCTACTAGCTGTGCATTCTCTCTCTCTTTTCTAGTACTGAGGWCTAAACCCACAGCCATGTGCATGCTAGGAAATCACTTTATCACTKAGTTGCATTCCYAGCCCTCTTTAAAATTTTATTTTAAGACAGGGTCTCGCTAAATTTTCCAGGCTGGCTTTGAATTTACTATCCTCCTGCCTCAGCCTCCCGAACAGCTGGGATCACAGGTGTGCACCACTATACCCAGCCTGGCTGTATATTCTTAAGCAAAATTTTGAGCTTCTTGGGGCTTTTATATATATATATATATAAAACCTAATACAATAAGTATAGACATATTTTTATGGGTTGTTGCCATTTAAAAGAAATAACACATATAAAGAGTTAGTACAGGTTTAGGCAAATTAAACTGAATAAATACTATTAGTTGTCTCATACAGGAGGGTCAAAGGAAGGTCAGTGCTTATAGATTGAAAAATGGAACTCTGGGGACACCTATATAGGATCTGTATGCTGGGGACAAACTGAGCTTATGTGGGGCAAGAATCAATCTCTCTCTCTCTCTCTCTCTCTCTCTCTCTCACCAGGGATTGAACCTAAGGGCACTTATCCATGAGCCACATCTCCAACCCTTTTTATATTTATTTAATTTGAGACAGGGTCTCACTAAATTGCTTGGGGTCTCACTGAGTTGCTGAGGCTAGCTTTGAACTTGTGATCCTCCTGCCTCAGCCTCCTGAGACACTGGTATTATAGGAGTATGCCACTGTACCAGGCAACATATCTCTTAAGAAATTTAAATTACGTGTGTAGCTATTATTTTCACTAATTAGGTGACTGGGGATTTTTTTYCTTCCTATTACCTTAGAAAAATCCATGATTTGTTTTAATAGACTAAGGGAAAAACCAGGATTTTTGTTGAAATTCCACTTCCCATTACACAGGCATTTTTCTACCTGGCCTACTTCCTTCCTCTTGCTAAATCCTCTTTAGAATTCAAAGTGCCTTCTGATTCTAGGGCTTCTCCTATTCGGTTAGTTCACTGAGTCCTCCTGGTATTCCTGGCCCCAGGCTCTGTCCCTGCAATGTGCCCTCTCCACCACCTACAGCTTCTTTGTTCTCTTTCTATCTACCTTCCATATGTTTAATGTCAGATCTGTGGAACCTCTCATTTCATTTCCCTCCAAGTCTCTGAGGAGCCAATGAGTCACTGCTGATTGGCTCTATTTAAATGGCTGGATTCAGGGATGCCCTCTGTCACCACTTCTATTTAACATAGTTCTTGAAACTCTAGCCAGAGCAATCAGACAGATGAAAGAAATTAAAGGGATATGGATAGGAAAAGAAAAACTCAAATTATCACTATTTGCAGATGATATGGTTCTATAACTAGAAGATCAAAACATTCCACCAGAAGTGTCCTAGAACTAATACATGAATTCAGCAAAGTAGCTGGATATAAAATCAACATCCATAAGTCAAAGGCATTTCTGTACATCAGTGACCAATCTGCTGAAAGTGAAACTTGGAAAATCACCCCATTTATAATAGCCTCAAAAAAAATTCTTGGGAATAAATTTAACGAAAGAGGTGAAGGACCTCTACAATGAAAACTATAACATGCTAAAGAAAGAAATTAAATAAGACCTTAAGATGGAAAGATCTACCTTGTTCTTAATAGGCAGGATTAATATTGTCAAAAAGACCATACTTCCAAAAGCACTATTCAGGGGGCTGGGGTTGTGACTCAGTGGTAGCGTGCTCGCCTTGCACGTGTGAGACCCTGGGTTTGATCCTCAGTACCACATAAAAATAAATAAACAAAATAAAGATATTGTGCCCATGTATAACTAAAAAAAAAAAAAAAAAAGCACCATACAGATTCAATGCAATTCCAATCAAAATCCCAAATGGCATTCCTTATAGAAATAGAAAAAGCAATCATGAAATTCATCTGGAAAAATAAGAGACCCATAGTAGCCAAAGCAATCCTTAGCAAGAAGAGTGAAGCTAATGGCATTACTATTCCAGACCTAAAACTATACTACAGAGCAATAGTAACAAAAATAGCATGGTATCAGCACCAAAATAGACCTGTAGACCAATGATACAGAATAGAGGACACAAAGTCTAACCCAAACAACTTCAGTTATCTTATATTAGACAAGGGCGCCAAAAACCTACATTGGAGAAAAGATAGCCTCTTCAACGAATGGAGCTGGGAAAACTGGAAATCCACATGTAATAAAATGAAATTAAACCTTTATCTCTCACCATGCACAAAACTCAACTCAAAGTGGATCAAGGACCTAGGAATTAAACCAGAGACTTTGCTCCTAATGAAAGAAAAAGTAGGCCCAAATCTCTATCATGTCGGATTTAGGCCCCAACTTTCTTAATAAAACTCCTGTAGTGCAGGAACTAAAACCAAGAATCAATAAGTGGGATGGATTCAAACTAAAAAGCTTCTTCTCAGCAAAAGAAACAATCATTGAAGTGAATAGAGAGCCTATAGAATGGGAGCCGATCTTTACCACAAGCACGTCAGACATAGAGCACTAATCTTTAGGGTATATAAAGCACTCAAAACCTTAATACAGAAACAAAAACAAATAACCCAATCAATAATGGGCCAAGGAACTGAACAGATACTTTTTGGAAGCTGACATAGAACCAATCAACAAACATGAAAAAATGTTCAACAACTCTAGCAATTAGAGAAATACAAATAAAAACTACTCTAAGATTTCATCTCACTCCAGTCAGAATGGCAGCTATCAAGAATACAAACAATAATAAGTGTTGGCGAGGATGTGGGGAAAAAGGCACACTCATACATTGCTGGTGGGACTGCAAATTGGTGCAGCAATCTGGAAAGCAGTATAGAGATTCCTTGGAAAACTGGGAATGGAGCCACCATTTGACCAAGCTATCCCACTCCTCAGTTTATACCCAAATGACTTAAAAACAGCATACTACAGGACACAGCCATATAAATGTTTATAGCAGTACAATTCACAATAGCTAAATTATGGAACCAACCTAGAAGCCCTTCAGTAGATGAATGGATAGGGAAACTTTGGTATATGTACACAATGGAACATTACTCAGCATTAAAAGAGAATAGAATCATGGCATTTGCAGGTAAATGATGAAGCTGGAGAATATAATGCTAAGTGAAGCAAGCCAATCCCAAAAAACTAAAGGCCAAATGTTTTCTTTGATATGAGGATGCTGACTCATAATGGCGATGGTGGGGGAGCATGGGAGGAATGGAGGAACTTTAGATAGGGCAAAGGGGAGGGAGGGTAAAGGAGAGGGCAAGAGGGTAGGAATGATGGTGGAATGAGTAGACATCTTACCCTAAGTACATGTATAAGATACAAATGGTGTGAAAATACTTTATGTATAATCAGTGTCTTAGAAAATTGTGCTCTATATGTGTAATATGAAATGAATTGCATTCTTCCATCATGTATAACAAATTGAATAAATTTAAAAAAAAGAAAAAAATGGCAAGATTCCACTTATGAGTTGGGTTCCAGTGTTGCTAAGCGACCCTCTAACTAATCTAGTGTTAAAGCACCACAAGCCCTGGTGGCCTCAGCCCTCTGCAGACACCCTGCCAGAGTGCTTACCTCCCGTGCCTAGGCTCCAGGGCCCTAGGGCTTGGTGCTCCCTGTTGCTGGCTGTTTCTTGCTCTCATCTGATCCTTGGGCTTTGAACCATATGGACCCACAGTTTAAATCAGGCAGAATTTCAGATGTTTGGTTTGTTTTGAAAACTCAGAATATCTGGTAACACGGGCTCATGCTCCTGAAAGGCAGCAGCTGGCTGGAGCAGGGGGCGTTTCTCCAGTCTATAGGGGCTCCCAATGCTCCTCACTGTCCTCTGCTCTACCCCTCCCTCATTCATTTCCCTCCCCACCTCTCTAGGCATTTGAGTTTATGACCCCTGTTCCAGCATTCAAAGAAGGGGCACAGACACCGGAAAGGAAGAGATAGGACCATCATCTTTTTCAAGCGGTCTATAGTGGGTTTTTTTTTGTTTCCAATGAGGGGGAGTTATTGCCCTTAGACCCTGGAGCAGGCTAAAGAATGAGCAATAACAATTCTGGGGCCAGCTGGGACCATGAAGGAGCCTGGCCAACATGTGCCTTACGTCTCTTATTCACCAGGGGAGAGGCTGGAAATCATGAGAGGATCTCTGCAAGAGGCTGGAGGGATTCTGGAAGGTAGAGTGGTTATCAATTGTTGGCTAAGACGGGGATGTTTCTGGTGCCTGGAGTTAAGTGACACTCATTMTTTCAAGTGCCAGCTACATGTGCAGACCAGGGAGCTTCTGGTGGCTACTGAGGGAAGATTCCTGTGCAAGGCCAAGAACGAACTGGGGAGACAGGAAGTCAAAAGAGGGACAACTTATGTCTGGCCCTGGCCCTGGCCTGTGGGGTCATTTTTAGTCAATTGTGTAGGAGAATTAAGGCAGGAAGAGGAGAAGCAGTGTCCATGAAGGACTCTGAGACCTTGAACTCAATATTGCTCCTTGGGGCCAGTGAGATGGACACAGAAGAGGGCTCAGGAGCTTTTCCAAATGCTCCCATCTACACAGCAATAGTGACAGAATTAGGCAGACCATGTTTGTAGGTGGACAGGGATGAGAGGCAGCCAGCAGAGCAGCTGCAGTGCCCAGCGTGCCTGGCAGAAGGCTAGAAGTGGCCTCTTCACAGGGCACAGACTGAGTGGTACTGCCAGGGCCCTGGGGCTTGCAAGCTGCACTTCCATGAAGAGGGTGCATGAGTAAGCCAAGAGACTTGTTTCTGATCACCAGAGACAGTCCTCCCTGGCCTTCTAGAGAGGGTGACCAAGGGACACACTGGGTGTGGGTATGTGCGTGGCAGAGCTCTGCAGTCTAGAGGATGGGGACTCACAGTGAGGCCCTGGGGTATCATCAGTGGAGCCAAGACACATGCACGTGGGCTGGTGAGGCTTGGGGTGGGCAGAGCTGCACACCCCCTCACARCCCACTTGTCTGTCTCACCCCCTACCCCTAATGTAATCACAGCCTCCTCCCCTCCYCTCCATCCCACTGTGACAAAGGCACAGACACACAGCAGAGGCTCCAGGGGCTGCACCAGGACCCCAGGTGGACAGGTTAATTGGAGGCCCCTGGTGTTGTGTGGGGCAAGGGTGGTCAAACCACAAGGCATGYGGGCGGGGGGTGGCTGTATATGAGGACCCAGGAGGAAACCTATACAACACTGCCAGAAACCAGATGTGTGCTGTGGAAGAATGAACGGAGCCCGGAGCCCGGAATACTTCAACAGGAGGTTTCTTTGCARCATCCTGGGAGGATTTGGAGAGAGAGATTCTGATGCAGAACAAATTGCATAAACATTTCAAAAGAGAAACTTACGTTTCACTAGCAAAAAGTCCCTGAATTCCTGGTGATCTGTAAACACCGGTGGAGATGGCAAGGGTGGGCCAAAGAGTGGTACACTTTCTTCTGAAAATATTTTCAGCCTACACAGAAAACATTCCAGAATTARTTGGTTTTTCTTCAAAGATCACCACTATTTTGCCCTTCACTGTGTCCAGCAGCCTTGGCCATGGCCCTGCCCTCCTTTCCAGCTGAGTTGTTTTCAGGGCCATGGCCAAGAYTTCCTGCATCCTCTGTGGTCTAACTCATCAGCTACGGATAAGGTCAGACTCCCCAGGAATAATGGCAGTGGTCACCTCTGTGTGCCCGAAGCTTACAGGTGGCACAGCTGGCCTTCTAATATGCAGCCCTGAGTCCGATTCTCCCTTGGCTGCCTGGGGTGGTTCCCTTCATTCTACAGAGGACTGAGGCTCTGATGAAATCAACCCTTTCACAAAGCCTCAGAGTTAACAAGTGACAAGGCTGAGATTCAAAACTAAATCTATTTGGTGGAAGTTCATACTCTTTTCACAACATGATAACTTTTAACTGTTAATTTTTGAGCACAGAAGGGTAAAGGAAGGAGACAGGAGCCTCTAAAAGAGGCTCAAAAAGAAACATGCACATCAAGAGTATCAATGTCAAATTAACATGTAGACAGATAATCAGAGCAAGAAGTGAGATGAGGCTGTCACCCACCTGTAATTGTCATTTTGTTGGTCATACCTCACTAAGGCAAAGATATCTGTGGGGATGGTCAAGGAAATAATCAACAACCCTGGCGCTCGCAGTTGACAGCTTGTGCTGTGGAAAGTCCTTGTGCAAAAGGCTCTTGCCCAGCCCTTCTGTGGTTAGGGCTCCTAAGGTCCTCGGGTTAGGACACAACTGTGGCTTCTTTACAGGAGAGCCCCCTGCCTGGTCCAAGCATCTGTGTGTACCACCACTGGGAAAGAGCTGCATCTCCAAAGCTGTCAGGAGAGCAATGTAAATAAAGATATGAAATGAAACAGCCAACCAAGCAGAGAGAGCAAACAAGACCCCAGCATGAAATTAGTCATATATTTCATCTCACATGTTCGAGAGGAAAAGCAATTTAAATGTTTCCACTATACACCTTCCCTCTCTCTCTTGGCTTTGGTAGACAAAACAAGATAGAACAAGCCAATGTGGCTGGTGACAGCTTCTAAGCAGAGTCTCCCGAGCTTGAGCTGGAGCCTGCCAACCCCAGAATAGCACAACTGCTGGGGGCGGAGCTCTGCGCAGGAGTGCTGGTTCCATCCCCAGCACTGAGAAAAAAAGAGGAGGGTGAATTGTACAGTGTGTGAATTATATYTCCATGAGCTCTTTTGAAAAATCAAAATAGCACAACCACATCTAGTGGCCTCCTCTATCCATGCTCCATTAGCTTCCCTCTCCTAGCTGGCCACAAAGCCACCAGGCCCTTGGCATTTCCCTTCCCTGGCTGGGTGGAATAGAATTTGCATTAACAACTCCTGCTGTCCTTTCCATAAATGAACCTGCTAAGCCCTAAATCTAAAACTTGCAAAGAAGGGAGAATAAAAAAAAATTGATTTGGCCACTTAAAGCCACCTCACTCCCTATCCTGGGGTGCACCTGGGAAGTTTTCTGCTATGTCCAGGGACTTGATGCAGGAAGGAGGTGATATGAGTCCTAGTTCAGTGGTCAGGGGAGACAGTTTTAGCAAGCAGGGATGAGGATGGGGGAAATCCATAGTGCAGGTGGAGGCAAATACCTGTTTTCCTCTCTTCCTTCTTAGGAGAAGTCTGGAGGCTTCAACTTTAAACACTTACTAATGTGCTATATTTCAGGTTCTAAGGGATAAGGCAAAGCATAGAGATGTCTGAGTCCCAGAGTGCCTGTCTCCAGACATTTCTACTGGAGTCTTCAGGGAACATGAAAAACTAGATAGCATTTATCATGGAAATGCCTGTTGGTTGCCCTTTACTTACAACCTGTGGGTTTCACTGTCACAGCCTGTGGCCCAGAGCAAGTGGGCCATGATTAGTTATCAWCTGGAATGGCTGAGTCCATGCTCCCTGCTGTCTGGCCAAGCTGGACTCAGACACTGCAGGGGACGTCAGTCTCATCACAGGAATCTGCCAGCACTATGAGATGAACAGTCATTAGGGGAAGCAAATTAAAATATTAYCAACTCACTTCTCAGATTTTAAGAGGTGGTAATGTGGCAGCTATGGTCAAACTCAGAATCAACCAGGCACAATGATTTTGGCTTTTTTTTTTTAACTTAYAAATTTTGATACCTAAAGAAAAATTACTCAGATACCTAAAGAAAAATTCATTACCTATCATTCTTCTAATTCATTTATTACTGATGGGTGCAGGAAGTTTCCCTCAGAATTCAAGAATTTTCTGAGAGCTAATCTATCCATAAATTTAGTGGGGGCAAAGGAAGAGGCAAAAATGCAAAACCTTGGAAAAAAAACCCCAAAACTGGGAGTCTCAGACCATAGCAATGAAAACATGTCACTGCCAGGTGCAATGGCGCATGCCTGAAATCCAAGCAGCTCAGGAGGCTGGGGCAGAAGGATCACAAGTTCAAAGCCAGTCTCTGCAACTTAGTGAGGCCCTAAGCAACTTGGTGAGACCCCGTCTCAAAATAAAAAATAAAAAAGGAATGGGGAGCTGGGGATATAGGTCAGTTGGTAGAGTGCTTGCCTCGCAAGGGCCTGGGTTCAATCTCCAGCACCACAAAAACAAAAACAAAAAAAGGACTGGGGATGTGGCTTTGTGGCTAAGCACCCCTGGGTTTAATCTCCAGTCCCCCAAAATAACCCCCTCAAAACAATAAAAATCATGTGAGTGATAACATTTGTGCAAAGGTCAATAACTTCCAGTGAGACTGCTAAACCAGAGCAGTCAACAGGCCCAGGATACGTGTAAAGTGAGAGCGGATCATGGAAGGCTTGAAGGCGGCAGAAGATTCCTCTCCCTCCTGGAACACGATGGTGACAATATCGTTTCCAATGTGGCGTTTCCTTTCCACCTGCAGTGAGCACAAACAACATCACTGAGAAAGCTGCTCAAATATGGCAGAGCTGAAAAACAGGACGTTGTATAACAATCTACAGCAGCCAGCAGAGCCCGACCCTCAGCTGACCTTGACTGCTGCCTCCCATTTCCCTGCCCATCTCCTGACTCAGGCCTGTACTTCCTCTTGTCTACAAAAGCCTCCTCACCAGCCTCCTAGCCTCCACTCTCTCCTCACTCTTCTGCCCTATTAGGCTTATCTTTATTCATCTCCTGAGCTGGGCACTGAACAAGGGGGTGCATCAGAATCCCCAGGGGAGGAGCTCAAAYGTTTATATTATAAATGCCTTAGCTAGTTTTTCTTTCTCCCTATATCTCCAGTCCTTCCTCCTTAGCTAATTCTGAAGTACACACTTGGTGAGAACAATGGCCTACCAAATTTGACCTATCCAGAATGATCTCCTAGACCCATGGCTGACAAGATTTTTTTCTGTAAAGGGTCAGAATTTAATGTTTTCAGCTTCAAGGACCATGTGGTCCTTTCACAGCCAGGCAGCTCCTGTGGCAAAAGCTGTCACAGTGCACAAACGAGTGAGCGCAGCTGTCACCAATACTGCTGCATTCACCCCARCAGAGGCTACTGCTCACCTGTGCCCTAGCCTTTGCCTGTTTGGTCAATCACAATGCCTCCCTGTTCCTCTGGATCCCATGTGTCCTCAGTTCTGGGTTATGGGGGACTACAGATGGAAACTCATTCTTTCTCACGCCCCTTACCAARAGGTGGTTCACCTTGAATATGGCTGGCTGCATAGTGCAGCAATGAATAAACTGTCACAAATGTAACCCTAAACTGGTGCCCAGTCCAGCCTCCAAAAGGAGAGTCTGTAACCTCAGCAACTTGGGAGTCTGAGGTAGGAGGATTGCAAATTCAAGGCCAGCCTGGGCAACTTGGTGAGAACCTGTCTCAAGATGCAAAACAAAAAGGGCTGGGATGCAGCTCAGGGGTACAGTGTCCCAGGGTTGAACTCTGAGTGAAAAAAAAAAAAAAAGGGCACCATAGTTTCTGCTGCCTCCTGTTGGAACATGGAACTTGTGCAGGGGGCCAGGAGGGCTGTGCCACCTGTCAGTAGTGAGCCCTGTTGCAGACAGGAGAGCGTCCCCCAAGAGGCCATGCAGAGGCCCCTGAGAGGCCCTGAGACTTCAAGGATGGGAGCAAGGACAGATTCCTAGCATTCACATCCAGCCTCCAAATAACTCCAGCTCAGCTGCCAGGGGATTGTCTCTSAGGAGGCTCCCTGAGACAGCAGCGGAAAACCTGCCGACTGAGCTGTCAATATGCAGGACCATGAGAAGTTGTGAACCAGTTTTCTCCAGCTAGTAAGTTTAGGAGTGGTTTGTTTTGTGGCAAAAAAAAATAAATACAACAGGGCCTTGGCTTACCAGTTTATTTTGCCTTGWCTCTTATTTCTTTTCTTTTTTATTTTTTTCCAGTATTGGGGATCAAACCGAGGGCCTCATGCAAGCCAAGCAATTGCTCTCCCATTCAGTACCAAGCCCAGACAAATTACACTTTGCCCAGGAAGCCTCCCTGTTTCCGTTAGATGTTGCCTTCTTTGTCCCCTGGTGTCTGTAGAACTTTCCTGATGCCCTTCCTTGGGCTTATGACTTTCTATTTTGCACAGTCATGTTTGCCCAGGCTTCCMGGAATCTTCTCTGCACTGCAAGCTCCTGGAAAAGAGGGCCCCTGCTGATTCTTACAGGATATTATGGSGAAATTAAGGTTTAGAGAGCATCTCCAAATTTCAATTTAATTCAGTGCAAAAAGTAATTATTAGCTGGGTGCAGTGGCACACATCCAGTGACTCAGGAGGCTGAGGCAGGAGCATTGCAAGTTCAAGGGCAACCAACCTTAGCAACTTAATGAGGCCCTGCCTCAAAAAAAAAAAAAAAAAAAAAAGGGCTGGTTATGTGGCTCAGTGGTAGAGCATCGAGTACCAAAAAAAAAAAGAAAGAAAGAAAGAAAAGTCATTATTGTTGGCAATGATTTCTTAGGTATGACACTAAAAGCACAGGAAAAAAAAAAAGATAGTGTCTGGGGATGTAGCTCAGAAGTTGATCTYTTGTGTAGCGTGCACAAAATGCCCTGAATTTGACATCTAGTACTGGGGGAAAAAAGAAGAAGATWGATAAATCAGAACACATCAATATTGGAAACTTCTGTAAACCAAAGGACACTGTCAACAGAGTGCAAAGGCAGCCCAGTGGAGAATGGGAGAAAGTAATTGCAAATCAGATATATGATAAGGGTTAATATCCAGAATTTATATTAGAAAACTCCTGCTACTCAATGACAACAGCAAAAAATCCAATTAAAAAGAGACAAACAACTTAGATATTTCTCCAAAGAAAATTTATATGTGGATAACAAGCACATGAAAAGGTGGTCAACATCATGAATCATTAAGGAAGTATAAGCCAAAATGAGACCTCACTTCATGCCCACTCTGTGGCATCTGAAATAACAAAGGTGAGGAGGAACTGCAAGCTTGTGTGGGGCTGACAGGAATGTAAAAGGGGCAATCACTGTGGAAAAGGGCATGGGCGCTCCCCCAAAACATAGATTTACCATATGATCCCGCAGTTCCCCTTTTGAMTATATACCTCAAGAATTAAAAGCAGGGTCCAATTGGGTGTTTGTATATCCATATTCATAGGGGCATTATTCATCAGAGCCAAAAGTGCAAAAGAACATAGTGTCGGCAGATAAATGGATAAAGAAAATGTGGTGCATACACACAATGGRATATTACTCAGCCTTGAAAATATAGGGAATCCTGATGTATGCTTCAACATGGATGAACCCAGAGTACATCATGTTAAGTGAAGAAGCTGATGCAAACGGACAAAATTATTATTCCATTAATATGAGGAACCTTGGGGCTGGGGTTGTGGCTCTGTGGTAGAGTGCTTGCCTAACATGTGTGAGGCACTGGGTTCGATTCTCAGCACCACACATAAACAAAYRAATAAATAAAGGTCCATTAATAACTAATAAAAATAYTTTTWAAAAAATATGAGGAACCTCAAGTAGCTGGGAGACAGGAAGTAGAATGATGGCCATCCGAGGCTAGGGGAGGGGAAAATGCAGAGCCATKGWTTAATGGGTACAGGGTTTCAGTCTGAGAAAAAGTTCTGGAGATAGATGGTGGTGACAGTTGCCTACTGATGTGAAAGTCCTCAATGCCACTGAACTGCACACAGAACAGTGGTTATAACGGCAAACTTTACATTATGCATATTTTACCACAATAAATATTAATCATTAAGGCTGGGGTTGTAGCTCAGTGGTAGAGTGCTTGTTTAGCATGCATGAAGCACTGGGTTATATTCTCAGCACCACATAAAAATAAATAAGTAAAATAAAGATATTGTGTCCATCTACAACTAAAAGTGTTTTTAAAAAGTCATTATTAATTCATTAACTGCTGAATGAACAAAATGTGATATAAAKCCATATTATAGAGAATTATTTAGCAATTAAAAAGGGATTTTTAATAAATGCTACAATGTATTTTCATTCATAGGAAGAGTCCAGAACAGGCAAATACAGAGATAGAGAGGAAGTTCACGGTTACCAAGGTAGAGTGGGAGAGGASAGCTGAGGGGAGAGGGCTTCTCTTCCAGTGATGGAAATGCTCTACACTGACTGCTGGATAACCCGCGAACACACTAGAGTCTACAGAGCTGTGTGCTCTAAAGGGTGAACTGCATGGTATATGAGTTAAATAAATAAAATAAAGGTACTGTGTCCATCTACAACTAAAAATATTTTAAAAACAACAACAAAAAAGAGTGCCTGAGGTTAGTTTCGGAGTACATTTGAGCGGGTCCAAGGAGGCACGAGGAGGCCTGCTGGAGGGCTGGGAGAGAGCTCAGCGGCCTGGAAAGCAAGGCGAAGGCCCTGAGCAGGCCAGGTTCTCTGGGGAGAGGAAGAGGGAGAAAGCCCATGTGATGGGATGCAGGAAACAAGGGGAAAACGAGAGAAGGAACAGGGTCACAGAGGCTTTCCCTGGTGGAGTGGCAGCCATGTGGTTTGGGAAATGACCTGACCTACATTTTAAGGCTCACTCTGGCTGCTGAACTGAGATGCTGGCTTCAGGGGACAAGGGAGAGACAGGGAGGCTACAGCATGGTCTATTTGAGAGGTGATGGTGACGGAGACCAGTGTGCCRAGCGGCCACAGTTTAGATGAGTCTTAAAGGTAGAACAAGTGGGATTTCCTGCCAAATCAAAAGTGGGATGAGACAAAAGAGAGGAGCTGAGAATGATTCCACTATTGCTGCCATGAAAAAGAAGGAAGAGAACAGAGCAGGTGTGCAGAGCACCCAGGGCGCAGCCCTGGAGTCCAGGGTCAGGGCATCCTGCTCAGTGGGTCAGGCTTCCCGGCCCTAACACCTCTCTAGGTTCCTATTTCTCACAAATCTGAACAACCGTCCATGCATATCAGTGATGCTGCCTCATACTGATGCCTTCAACGTGGAAAAGCATGAAACAATCTCCTAAAAAGTTACATGGAACCCCAACCCCCAGCCTCTGTCATGTTTGAACTGGAGAATTTCCCCCGAAAATGGCCAACCTCTGGGGTGGGCAAGAAGTGTACAGGGAATTTCCCAGCATAGTGCTGCCCATGCAGACGCTCAGGGTTAACCTGCCGCGGCCCGGAAAACAGCACTTGCCAGCTACCGCATAGGATCCACTGTTTTATGTCCTGGAGTCTCATTCTGAAATGACCGAAGGTACACTGAGGCAAGGCAACACCTACGCAAATCAGTCTCTGGGGTGTCTTGCTGTGGTGTGAGCATGTCCCCCGGAGGCTCATGTGCTGGGAACTTGGCCCCCAGTGTGGTGTCAAAAGGTGACGAGACCCTTGAGAGATGGGCCTCGTGGGAGGTGATGAGGTCTTTAGGTGGAACTGACATTTTTTTTTTWAATGTTTGCTTTCTTATGCTTTTTTTTAAAAAAATTATTTATTTATTTTACAATAGAATACTTTTTGACATAGAGTACACAAATGGAGCACAACTTCTCATTCCTCTGGCTGTCCATGRTTCAAAGTCACTCCACTAGTGTAACCATACATGTATATAGGTAATGATGTCTGTCCCTTTTTACTGAGGACTGACACTTTTCTCATGGGAGTCCATTCTTTCTCTTGTGGGTCTTGCAAGAGTGGGTTGTTATAACAAGTCTGGTACCTCCCTGAATCTCTGGGTTCCTGTCTTGCTGTGTGATTTCTTCCATATACATGACAGCTACTATGATATCATCTGCCATGAGGCCCTCACTAGAGCTGAACAGATGCCAGTGGCATGCTCTTGAATCTATACAACTGTAAGATAAATAAACCCCTTTTCTTTACAAAGTACCCAGACTGGAGCATTTCATTATAGCAGCACAATACAGACTAATATGAGTCTATGAAACTATATTCACACATGCAAACACATCTACATGTTCATACACTCATGCACTTTATTACCTATGTCCCTTTATTTCTTTATGGTGATGTAGCATCAGTGAGAATAGAGCTTCCAAAGTCTTGTTGAAAGTTTTAAGAGTACAACTGTAAAAAGCATCCCTAAATTGGTAGCGATATTCTACTTTAGTAACGTACAGTCTCAATTCTGTGAAAGCAGTATGGTGCTCTCTCCACATTCAGGTCACTGATGGCTGGTGTTCTCAAAGAGCCCATGTTCACACATACCTGCTGTTTGTTCTCTTTGGAATATGGCAGCATGGTGGAAACATGGAACATGATCTCGTGCCCTTGGTACACAGTATAAACTGAGTGTATCCCTGTGGTGTCATCTGCAAAATACAAGTGTGCATTTATTGGATGCAGAACCTTCTGAGGCCATAGGGAAATAGCTTTTATCTGCAGATTGAGGAGTAAGGACACAGTGAACACACTCTGAAAAGTCATTCTGGATTATCCACTTGAGTGGAAGCAAAGCTTCTACCCACATGAAAGACCTCCTCTCTCTCTGAGCTCACTTGCTGATTCATGTCTTGCCTCAGAATGGAGGATATCAGGAGAAGTCTGGCCTGCCTTCCAGTTGCTGAGGCATACAGGATGAAATCAACACAAGACGACACAATTATCATGTCCACGAGACAAAAGCAAGTGATATATCTGGCAGAATTGTGCAGTGGTTGAAAGCAGGGGCTTTGGAGTTAGGCAGACTTGGGTTCAAACTCATTAGCTATATTATTTTTCCCCCAAAGTTTAAGRTTTTGTTTTATGGCATTTTCTTAATTTATTTTAAGCTATAGTTCTTTTGACAAGTCATCTCACTGTTCTCTGGGTCTCAATTTCTTAATTTGAAAATGGGGGATGCTGGGAAGACTGAAAAAGATTATATCCACAAAGTGTTCCACAGAGTGCCTGGCTGTCTCSGGGGCCCYGGGGACGGTAGTCTGCTCCAGAGTAGGGAGGCTGTGTTTGGTCCTGGGATGATGAGCTTATGGGCACTTGGGAATTCACCGTGTGCACACAGAGCTTGTTCTGGGGAGGCTGGGGCCATGGCCTCCCGCCAGCCCTGTCAGTTCGCCTACTTCCAGCACAGTCCTCACACACCCTGCTCTCGGACTCAGAATCTGAGATGATGCCAACGGGGGCTGGTGGGAAGACGGGGCTCCCTGAGGGCCAGGGCACCCAGATTTGAGGCCTGTCACATTTAGGCCAAAGGAGCCTCTTACCACCTGCCCGACTGTTCTAAAGGCCTGATTGTGAAGATCAAACAGCGGCACAGGAGATGCACAGGAAAATGACAGAAGTGCTACCTAGACATAAGATCTAAACTTGGATCTTATCTACCATCCTCTCTTAGGCCCCACCCCCAGATCCTGTTCTCAGATGCCCCCAGGAAGTTTCATAATCCCAGGCGCCACCACGGCCAACGTCCCCAGGCCAGAAGCCCAGATGCTGTGGGGGGGTCCTTTCTTCCTTTCACCTCCCACATTTCAGTCCTACCCCCTCTGCCTTGGAAAGGGCTCTCCGGTTAGTGCACTCTTCTCCCTGCCAGTCTGCTGCCCCCCAGCCACGGCGGCCACCACCTCCTGTTTGGACTGTGGCAACCACCTCTCCACTGGCCCCTCCTCCTGCTCCATTCAGACCCCTGCCCAGGGGACCACAGACTTCCTGCAGGGTCATACTGCTCCCTTCTCCAGTCCACAGGGCATCCTTCCTGGCCCGTCTGCTCACTCCAGTTATAAAGGTTTTCTCTTAGTTTCTAGGAGAAGTCACATGCTTTCCAGCCTCGAGGACTTCACTGATATTCCCCTGCTGGGAGTGCTCTTCTCTCCTTAAGACACTCCAGCTGCTGCCACTTGTCATCCCTGCCTCTCACTGCAAACATCACTTCCCCAGAGAAGCCTCTCCCAAGCCCCCAGATTTGGCAAAGTGTCCCAGCAGCATTCTGCTCCTTAACTGCTGTAAGTACTTAGTACTAAGCTATTTGATTGTTAGCTGTTTACTGGCCGTGTGTTCAGTGAACTCTAGGCTCCTAGAAAGGCAGGGCCCATTTTGGTTTATCTACATATGTACTACAGTCCTGGTACACAGATGGTGCTCAATAGTAAGTACAGATAGGCATCACTTAATGATGGGGACACATTTTGAGAAGGTGTCCTTAGCTGATTTCATCCTTGTGTGAACCTCTTGGAGCATACTGACATGAACTGAGATGTTTTCAGTGTCACTAGGTGATGTGATCTTGTGGGATCACTGTCACAGATGTGGTCCATCATTGATGGACATGTCATGATGTGGTGTATAACTGTATTTATGGGCGGATCATGACTACTGCCACCTCCTAGAGGCTGTGAGGCTGACTAGTCTTGCAAAGCTCAATGGAGGCACTGAATGTGTCCAGTGACCCTTGTCAGACTGGAGGTGATGCTCGACTCCTGTCCTTTGTCTCTGGTCCATCCCTTCCCTCATCTTGGGTATAAGTTCAAACATAGATCAAATTGATTAATAAAATTCTACCAGCTACAACAAGATAAATCAAGAGGCAAGCTTACTTTTGGTGTCCAGACCGCCACGGTAGCCTGTCCAGCCCTTGAGAGTGATTGTGTCACCCAGGAGATTTAAAAATTTTTGAAAAGCTTCACTTCCAATTTCTGCAGGAAGAGGCAAAGTATGAACAGAACAGGGGTGCAACCAAGCCCTTGTTTTCTAACTACCACTGACATCACTTGAAGGTTCTGAGGCACTGCTGAGGTGCGCAGCATGAAGCCACATTTCCTCTTCCTGGTCTGTGAGGAAGTTTCATAATCCCAGGAATCAGAGGAAAGGAAATTACCAGGAAAGAACCAGATGAACAACCTTACCACTGCCAGATCACCATAGAATTGCACTACTAATGACATTAGTAGTGCTTCCACCAATAACTAACAGGTATTTCACACGAAAAATGATTAATCTCAGGAAGAAGACACCATCGTATAACTCTCCCCRCATAAAAGTCACAGGAAAGTTTTCCGCTGCAGAATCAAATTCTCCAAATCCATGTGCTTTCCCACTTAGACTGTATCTCCAGTGCCCAGAGCAGGGATTGGTAGAAATCAGGTGACCTGTAAATATTTGCCAAATGAATGAAACTGGGCAACAACTGCCCTACAAAATTTACCCTGACATTAAAAAAAAAAAACTGTCTTCTTGGATTAAAGACTCCAATGAGTTCAGTTTCAACTGTCAAAAATGCACCAAGGCAGGATGGGTTTCCTGTATGCAGAGGGGGGTGGTGTTCACATACCATTGCTGAACATCTCGTCATCAGTGAGCTGCCCGTCTTTGGCAAAAAGAACCCCAAACTTGAAATTCACAGAGCCCTGACAATAAGAAAACAAAAGATGTGGAAGTTAATTTTACCATCAGAGTGTGCACAGTCCTAAGATGTCACCAGGCTGGACACTTGGAGATCCCTTCCTCCCATTCGAATTTTGACAATGTGAATGACAATAATTACATTATTTTCATAGGTTTTTTGATGGGCTGGGGATGTGGCTCAAGCGGTAGCTCGCTCGCCTGGTATGCGTGCGGCCCGGGTTCGATCCTCAGCACCACATACAAAGATGTTGTGTCTGCCGAAAACTAAAATAAACATTAAAAAAAATTCTCTAAAAAAAAAAAATTTAAAGATGAGACCATATGCTTCTATGTGTGCTAACTCATTGGCAATCTCATTACTAGTGGCACCTGCAGGATGCCAGGTCCATTTGGGGGCAACACAGAGCTCCAGATAAATGGCCACAGCAACTCATGGGGCTAGCACCATCTTCTAATCCACCCACCCGCAACAGTCCAGATCCTAGTCAGCAAAGGAGAGCTCATTGTCATTCAAAGCCGAACATAACAATCTTAGGCTAATGTCTTGTGGACTCTTTTAGAAACAGAATGGTSGGCAATTTATACTAAAAGCTCATTTTCCCCAATTCCTAAAGATATTTAATCTGAACAAGTCACAAAACAGATGTGCAAGGAAAAAAAAAAGCCAAGCAAGCAGCCGCTAGTCCAATGTGCAGTCTGCCGTCCTCGACCTCAAACAGCGAGTTAATAAAATTGGATCCTGTGGACATGACAAATACCAAACGAAAGAGCAGCTTCTATTGGAAGTGAGGAAGACAGGGGAAAGGGGTCAGAGAGTGAGAAACAGGGTTTCAACTCTGTTTTGTTTTGTTTTTTCCCTAARGCTGGGCAATGAGTTTACTGATATTCATAACATGATTCTCTTCACTCTTGCATTCCTGAAGTGTTTCATAATTAAAAAAAAATCCCACTGTTGAAGAGAATCAGTTCCCTGCACAGTTGTGTGACCCACCACTAAGTGGGGAGTTCTTGGTGGCCAATCAAGGGACAGACAAGGAACAAAGTTGCAGAGCCCTGCCCAATGGGTCAGAGGTGGAAGGTCAAGGCAGGAGYGGGATTTAGGACAATGGAATCTGGGAGCATTAAGAATCTGAAAATCTTGGAGTCTGAGGTTATGCTTCTCAACATTTTTCTGTCCTAACATGCCCACAAGTCAGATTCACACCCACCAGTGACAGTGGTTTTCTACACAGAGGCAGGAAGGAGGATGCTCTGGCCAACCCCTCTACCTGAGCTCTTCCCCAGCCCCTGGCATTCCCCATGGCAGCTTGTTCCCAATTATGCAGGTCTTGGCTCAAGCAGCAATTTTCAGAGAAATCTCCTGGGACAAATCTCCCTGGAGGCCACCCCTTCACTCTTGGGACAGAGCCGCACACCCAACTCATCCCCACCAGGGCACCCTTCACTCTGTAGCTCTTCTAAGGAACCTSAACACTCGTTTCTTTCTACCACCAGAGCCCAAGTCCCTGCAGGAGGGATCACATACATTTTACTTTCCACTGTATCTGCAGGGCTGACCACAGGTGCCAGGACTTGGAGGTGAATTCATGTGAATGTGTGTGTAATAAATGAGAAGAGACAAACCTGGTCAGAAATCACTCATTTTTCACCAGCTGCCTCCGGGTGATCATCTCTTCCTCACAAGCCAGTTTTGGTCAGTTTCTTAGAATTCTGTCAGGGAGCTCTGCTCACTTTGGGTTTCTACAGTTTGCCGCTTTTCCTTCATCTATTTTAGAAGTGATGACAGCCATCCCTCGTAAGATGCTGTAACTCTTCCATTCTTGGGAGTCCCTCAAAAAGCATCTGTAGCAATTTGGATGCTAACAGATGGCCCCTGTGGAAATAACTATGCAGGGACTGAAGCAGCGGCTCTCTAAGTTGAGCAGGCATAGGATGCCCTGGAGGGCTTGCTAGAATAAAGATTGCTGGTCCCACCCCTGAGTTCTAAGTCAGCAGGTTGAGATAGGGCCCCAAAGTCTGCATTTACCAGGTTTTCAGGAGGTGCTAGTGCTGCTGTCCAGGGAGCCTGCTGTGAGAGTCACTGGACTTCAGGAACAACAACAGGCTGCCAAAAGCCCAGGATTGGGTCCAGCCAAACTGGCAGCCAAAAAAACCAGGGGAAAAGGATCAGGTCAATGATMAGAGCTATGGGCCATGAACTAACAGCTTGTTAGGATCAGAAGGGACCTGTAGTCCCTGGAGGCTACCCCTTCACTTACAGACAGGACAGGGAAGTCCGGGGAAGCAGAGACTAGGTACTAAGTGAACAGYAGGGGGCAGATCTGGAACTTGGGCCTCCTGACTTCTTACCACAGCTCTTGCCAATGTCATGCCACTGTCTTCTCAAGACGATTATGAGTTGAGCAAAGCTGAGAGCTACAAGCTGAGCTGTGGTTTTCAAAGCTTTATGGGGCTGTTCTGAGGCTGGCCATGCTACCAATTCTCTTTGCTGAGGACCCCTCTTGCTTGGGTGGAGACCCCAGAAAGACTGGTGTTGCAGGGCCTTTTTAAGTCTTCATCACATGGTGTCAGGGTCAGATTGCATAAGTACAAAGTCTGTAGGGCACAGAGGGTGCAGGATGGGGATGTTTGTGCATCTGAAGGCACAGGATCTTCAAGATCACTTATAGGCAGAGAGATTATGCAACCAAGTTTTCCAAGACAGCCCTGGCTTGAATCTGATTTGCCTGTTGTCCTGGTATTACTCTCAAGAGGGTACCATTTTATTTGTTTGTTTTTTATTTTATTTTATTTTTTTTTGTGTGGTGCTGGGGATTGAACCCAGCGCCTTGTGTATGCAATGCAAGCACTCCACCAACTGAGCTATATCCCCAGCCCAAAGAGGGTACCAGTTTAAAAGATAAATTATATGGAACCTCCTGCTTCAAATCACCTTCAGATGCAAGGCCCTGTTAAATTCTTAAACTTTCTTATAGGTTCTTTTAGATACTTTGGTTTTTAGAATTTCTCAAATGATGTCCATGACTAACATGGAACTCATCTATTTCCAGAAATCAGGGCATCCCTCAATATAGTGACTTCTCATATTTGAGGAGTGTGTTTGATCTGGGCTGAACTGACCAGTGGATCTTTTCCAGTTGTTGTTTTCTGGTGCTGGGGACTGAACCCAGGTCCTCAAACATGCCAAACACACCCTTTCCCAGAGCTACACTCCAGCTCCTATCAGATCCTATCAGAATGAGCCACTCAACAGAACACCCTTAGTGCATCAAGAGGCTGGCTGCCATTTGGAGCACTAGATCTTGAAGGATGGAGGCAGCTTTCAAGGTCCCAAGAGCAGACCTGGGCTCCAGAGAGAGGTGACTGCTAGAGGGAATCTGGGAGCACTCGTTTGCTTAGCACATAAGTCCTGCTCAGACACAGAGACAAGGTCACATTTTTCATTTCTACTTGTATGGAACTTTTTAAAAAGTTTAAGCTTTAGACTTCATGAAACAGAACTTCCCATGCTTTGGAATTAATAGTATGTTAGGAATTATATTTCTTCTGCAAGAAGTGGAGTATRAGGAGAAATGAAAGTCCCAATGATCCCAGAAGAATCTTTTGGAATTGAGAAAGGATGGCCTTATTCAAAACTCCACACCTTGTTTCTCCTGTCTGGACATGCTSTATATTTCTAGGATTCCACTTGTCCCTACAGTTCTCTTGCTATCCCAGTGTGTATTACAGGACAAGATGCCATGTTTTCTCCTGGGGGTGCCAAATAAAACATGGGTTTTGGGACACTGACATCCCTTTATCAAATAGCTAACCTTTCAGGAACATCATAGGTGCTATTTACTAACTTTTTTCCTGCCTATCTTTACAGCTTACCACTAGAATAGGCTAGAATTGGGATTAAAAGATACCAACTGATCTTAGCTGAGAAGTTATAGGATTAAATCAGAATGCCTGGGTCACACAGCTCTCCAAGAAGCTCAGACAAGACACCAACCATTGCTCAAATCTCTCCAAATCACCATAACAGGGCACTCTTGCTGCTTCAGGCAAGTATTCCCTTAGAAAGGAAATGACATTGAGAAACAGAGATCCAGCCTTCATAGTTCAGGCCAGAGAAGATTGGGATGGTGGCAGTGCACTAGCGTGGTTGTGGTGGAGGCAACTGAGAGGTGTTTGTTTTGGGGATATTTATGAAGAAGTATCAACGGGATGTGCAGATGGATTAGATATGGGGTGTAAAGAGAAAGATAGTTATTTCATCAAAGTTTGTCTGAGCAACTGGACAGATGAATTACCATTCATGGAGGAGCACAATATGCCTAAACCATCATTTATTTACTCAGCTGCCTGTTGATAATATTTTGGACATCTCCTTCTATTAGATATGTGCTTAGAAAACCCAATGTATTCTTTTAATATTTTTTAGTTGTTTATGGACATTTATTTTATTCATTTATTTATATGCGGTGCTGAGAATCAAATCAAATCAGTGGTAGGCAAGTGCTCTACCACTGAGCCACAACCCCAGCCTCCAACGTATTTTTAAACAATGGGGCAATAGGACACAAAAACATGCAAATAAGTCAAGATCTTGTATATTTAGAATCTGCTTAATAACTAATGTACAAACATCCTCTTTTAATGTAATAGAAATTAAAGCCTCATTACTTACCTTGATCACAAGCAGACTAAGTAGTTTGATTGCTTTTATATCTTTATAGCTAGCAGCATAGAAAATTCTGAAGTATGCCTTGACCAAACCCCTCAGTCCAGTCTTCCTGTGGGAAGGACCCACACTGTAGACCCATGCAGAATCACCCGGAGGGGTGTCACACTGACTCACAGGAAGCAGAAATGGCCAAACAAAGGCTCCATAAAAACACTCACCTCTTGTTCTTCAAGAACCAGCAAGTCCTGTCAAGTAAAGGTTTCAAAAGTTATGTGCATGTGTAGGGTCTCATTTGATTTTGGCTTTCTGTGGAAGCCGAATTTCAGTTAACTCACAGTTTTGCATTAAAACATTTTGAAAATAACAAGTTGTTTATGGATCTTTTTTTGGGAAACAAAATAAAACAAAACTGTGACCAAAGGCAGGAACCAAGAATCTTGGGTTTGTCCCCTGTAACTTGCCTGACCCTAGGTCAGGTAGTCTCCTAAGACCCTCTCCTATGAGAGGCGTGGAACAGCGACCCTGAAGAATCCTGGCTTTGGATCCTTGCTCCGTCATGTACTTTAGTGTGTTTGGGCACAAGATATTTAGCCCATTAGGGTCTCTGTTTCCTCACCCACTGCCCAAGGATAACACCGTCTTAACTCTGCACAGGTTGCTATGTGTGGAAAGCCTGGTATGCAGCATAGATATAATCAGCCTCTGATTTCTTTCCTTATTATTTTCAGTCACTCCATATATAAATTTGTAGACTAATTACATGGAAGAACTTTTTTCAGAACTTTTAAAAAAGTAGATACTGGTTGGTAAGTGGACAGCAACACCAGAGGCTCTGGCAGGGATCAGTGGGTGAGTGGAGGTGGGGGCCATTGGTGAGCCATTGCTGCTGTAGGAGGACAGGAGGGAGAGAGCCAGGGTAGCAGTGGAGGAGGCTAAAGGGACCCTCACCCTCCTTCTTGCCCAAGAGGAGAGGAGCTGTGTTCACTGGAGACCTGGCAACTCTGAAAGAACTCTGCAAGGCACACAAATCCCCATTTTATTTAACAGGAGGCCTTTTTCATTCAGAATTCTGTGATTTTGGTTACTTCTAAGTTTTGGGAAAAAATAAAGTTATTATGTATTTTTTCTCATTGGGACATCTTTATATTTGCATGTCATCATGCATTTCATTGCAAAGTTCTCTTCCCACAGTTTCTTTAGATCTTCTCAAGTACCCTGTGAGCAGTTCAGCTGTTCCAGAATCCCAGGGAAGGGTCTGAGTTAAGGTCACGAGGCCTGCCAGTAAGAGCTGGATCTGGGGCCTTCTCTTAACTGATGTGGGGAGTAAGACAAGGAGGCGCTCATGACCCGGGCTTCCCAATTGCCAAGATCCCAGCAAGTGTCAGGACTGGGCGTTTTGCCACCAGTTTCTGGCCTGGGGGCTGTCCTTGGCAGCCAGGCTGCAGAGATCAGCTTTAAGCAGGAATCCTGCTCAGCTCTGGGGAGAGGGTCTCCACACTCAGCTACTACGGGGATGGGGGTGGGGAGGTGTCACAGGCTGCCAGGTTACATTTATCTTAAAGTTTCCTTATTTCAGATGACATTTCTTCAGAAGCAGGCACTCCTGCCATGTGTTCCTGCTTTGCTAAAGTTTACTTAACACGATTCAAGATTTTAAAATATTCTTGTTCGTAAAATTGTGAGCATCAGTTAGGTCCTCCTTTTGCTGTTGCCCAGTTGGTAATTTTAGCCTGRAAGTATAATCTGGTCTATTGGGAGTGTTTCTTAACAGAGTCCGACTGTGGTATTTTTGATGGATGTATGATTCTAATCATTAGTCTGGGGCTGATACTGATTTTTTTATACATATATGACTGACTGACTTGGTAGAGAGTGATTTTATATACACTTTTTTAAAACCTAGAAATGTGGACTGGGATTGTGGCTCAGTGGTAGATCGCTTGCCTAGCATAGGCGGGACCTGGGTTCGATCTTCAACACCACATAAAAATAAAGGCATTGTGTTGTGTCCATCTACACCTTAAAAAAAATGTTAAAAAAACCCTAAGAATGCTTTAAAAGCTCAATTTAGCCTTACAGATTTTATAAAACTCCTGCTCATCTAGGAGAGTCACACTACAACCAGCTGGAAAGAAAGCTGTCGGACAGAAGCAGAAGAAGCAGAGGCACCCAGGTTTCACCATCCACTGGGAGCTGGCTTAATAACACACTGTCCTGGAAAGATTTTGGTGGAGAAAAATGTCACAACAGTCTAGCAGCCATTGTAAGTAGCACCGCTGCCCTCTCTCTTCGTGGGAGATGCCCCCTGTGCAGTTGGTTGGGTTCCCATTCACCCTCTGCGGCCTGTGACTGTTCAGAACTCTTTCCCTGTATCCCAAAGCCTGTTGCTCATGGGCTCCTGTGGGAATCTGCTGAGAGGCTGCAGCTGGAACAGCCTGGTGCAGAGCTGAGCCTCAGCCCTGCCAAGCACGCCCAGCACTGGAAAGCGGGACAGCAGAGGCTCCTGAAGGACTTCTTCTACAGGAAAGTCACACGCTGTGGTGAYAGCACGGAAGTATGGGGCAAGGGATGACAGAGGTGGGCAGATGGCTCTAGACCTTTCTTCTTGTCCCCTTTTACTCTGAAGAAGAGAGAAAGCAGATGGGGAGGGCCGAGCAGGGCGGTCTGAGAGCCAAAGCACCACAGCTGGCTCTGGGGGTTTTGGGGCCATCTGGGGGCAGGGATGGTGGTGGGATCACACCTGGGCTTGAAGAAGGAAGGGTTAAGACTCTGTAYAATGAAGTGACAAAGGCACAAGGGTAATGACATATTTGCAATTCAAATGTGCTATAGTCACTTTAAAGCATGTCATGGCTTAAAATTGCTTAGTTTAACCCAATGCACCTATTTTTGTCTGAGTTTTCTCCTAGGGCTGGGGCAGGGTACAAATACTATTTTAAACATTAAATCAAAATAAAAGATATGAAAATTCATATCTTATGAATATTTGAGGTAAGCAAGGCTGAGAGCCAATGACCTTATCCTCAAGGCTAACCATGCCTTAGCTCAGGAATGCACGCCAGGGTGCTCTGCTCCCACCAGGCCTCTCGCTCTGGCTTATTTCCCCAAACACACAAAGCACAGCCCTCATCACCCTCAGACCCCACTGGCTCCCTGTCGCCCCCTGAACAGAACTCAAAACTGCCTCTCAGCTTCTTCCCTTGTCACCCAGCCCCTGCGCTTACAGTCCCTTTAATCTCCACTTTGCCATATGATTGGTGTGCTGCTGGTGATGGCAGTGCACCTTATTTCAGATGACATTTCTTCAGAAGCAGGCACTCCTGCCATGTGTTCCTGCTTTGCTAAGGTCCCACTAACACAATTCAAGATTTTAAAATATTCTTATTCCTAAAATTGTGAAGAGAACTTTTTTTCAGAACTTCTAAAAAAGTAGCTACTGGTTGATAGGTGGACAGCAACACCAGAGGCTCTGGCAGGGATCAGTGGTGAGTGGGGAAGTTTTCAAAGCTAAGATGATTTACAGCTGCGAGAGAGAAGTGTGGCTGTATTTTCACATGAATCTTATCTAGATTATGACTGAACTTTTATTCCCCCTTTAAAGGTCCCTAAGAGAACAGGATAGCTTTCTGGGGACTCTGAATCCTCTGATACTCAGCACAGTTCTGAATGAGTAAGCGCACATGGTCATTTTATGTTTTTTTAATTAAAAAAATAGTTATAGATGGACACAATATCTTTACTTATTCATTTATTTTTATGTGGTACTGAGGATGCAACCCAGTGCCTCACACATGCTAGGCAAGTGCTCTACCACTAAGCCACAGTCCCAGCCTTGTTTTATTAATTTTTAAAAATCTCTTTCACATTTCACATGATTCTGTATCATTCAGGAAGAGGTTGACTTTTAAGACCTTTCTGAACACACACTTTACTGGTTCATGGGTTGAGGACCACAGCTCAGCGGTACTCAGTCGTGGCTAGGTGTCAGCACCACTCAAGGAACATCTGAGAAACAGATTCTCAGGCTCTTCCCCAAACCAGCAGAATCTCAGACATGAGGTTCACGTGTTTTAAAAGTACACAGGTGATTCACCCTGAACCCCAGCCTAAGCATCACAGCCCTGTCAGGCCTATCCTAACATGGTGATTGGTTCTATGCAATTATGAAGAACAAAATTTTTCATTACCTTTTGTATCTCAGGAAGAAAAATTTCTCTAGGGCCTTTCTCAAATTTGTCCAGATTCATGGCACTGAAATAGAATAGACAGAGTGAGCCACAGTGAGGTGAAGACTTAAGCAATGTGGAATGAATCTCAGCTCTCCAGAGAAGTTAGATAACATCTTCTAGATTCTAGAACAGCAYGGCTGGCTTCTCTGAAGGGCCTGGCACACAGGAGACACCAATTAACAAATGAATGATCAATGAACAAATATGTGAAAGTCACCAAACACCACATTCTACTTTCCCTACATACTGTCCCTGAGTGATACTCATATAGTAAGAGTGGGGAGGAATCAGGAACATCTATTTTAGGCAACCTTTTAAAAAATTCTTATAAATTCTTATTTTTAAGAATAAAAATTCTTATTTTAGTTTACTAGATTCTTCTTTTCATGTACTAGAAAAATGATGAAATGTAAATAAGATCAACTGACTTTTTTTCTTCCTTTGGTGACTGCTCTACCACACAAAGCAAAATATCCTTAAGAGTACTTTTTAATGTCTTACTTAGGACAAGAAACATGAATTTTCTCAAAGCTAAGTTCCACTAGAGGTCAAACAGGGAGGGTGAACTAGGTGACCTCTAAGGCCCCTTCCACCTAGGATGCCCATATTCACGAGTCACAGGTAAAAGTAAGAACTAATATGTGAAAAGGACTTTCCACACCGGCGCCCACACCCCATTTAGTCCCCAGGAGGTGGGTACTGTTTTGTCCGCTTTAGCTGTGTTTGTTGCTAGGATAGCCTTGTGCATGGCAGGCAAGTGCTCTCCCACTGAGCCATGCCTCCTTGTCCCCATTTTAAAGGTAAAGAAATCGAGGCTCAGAAGACAAAAGGATAACAAAGCCATTAAGGAGCAGAGCGAGGACTTGAACCCAGGCTTAATCTGACTCTATAGTATTTATATTTTTGTTCTGGGCCAGGCTACATGGGCAATGACCAAACAGACTCCATCTTACCCTGAAACTTYATGTCATGTAAAAGCTGCTTCTCCCATGGGGAAGCCCTGCCTCTGTACCCATCAACAGTTGCTTAGCATAGCATGTTTGGCAAAGCAAAGTAGCAATTCTCATACAATGTAAAATTGTTCTCTCTTTGGTTCCCATTTTTTTTGGACAATGTACCCTGTCAGAGATGGATTTGTCCAGACATTAGTAACTGTTCTTTAACTTGTACTCAACTAGGGACGTTTTGACCCATTCCCCCTCCTGCTTATGATTTTAGATCTCATGGTGTTTGCTTATGGTTTTGAATCACAGCAATAACCACTTATGATTAATATGGTTTTGGACTATAAAAGGTGTTTTCAAACCCCAGGAGGGGGTCGAAGGGTGTAGACTTGCAGCCTGCCCCTTGGACCCCCAGCTGGTGAATAAAGTTTCCGTTTCCTGCTTTAATAYAGACTCAGTGATTAATTGCAATCTTGACTTTTAACATTTTAATTTCCTTTTAAGTTCTCGAGTTCATGTTTGTAACAAAAGAAGATAAGTCTACTTCTGTTGATGGYGACTGTGGAAGTTTTAGTCTTCCCTGTCTTTAAAATCTTGCTGCAACTTGTTCTGTCTGTGAGTGAGTAGGGAGGGTGCTGCTCACATAACTAAGTGAAATTCTAACTAAATCAATTCTAGCTGAATTAACTGCCCTGTCTTTAAACAAGGAAGAAGGAGCCAGAGTAACTTCTAGAGRACATCAACAACAAMAAAAGATTCATAGAAATCTTAAGCCAGGGCTGGGGTTGAGGCTCAGCAGTAGAGCGCTCGCCTTGCACGCGCGAGGCCCTGGGTTCGATCCTCAGCACCACATWAAAGTAWATAAGTGAAATAAAGATATTTTAAAAAATTGTGTTAAAAAAAGAAATCTTAAGTCAATATAATTCAAAGTATTACTCTTGGTAGCAAGTTAAAATTTATAGATCCATAGAAGCAACAAGATAGTTCCATGCTCAACAAAAAATGTAACCTCTCTGTTGATGCTTCTTTAACTCAGGCTTCAGTCTGCTCCAGAAGAAAATCAGAATGCTTAGAGCAGACAAGAGAAGGCCTGCAATCTGAAGATCAAATCAAGTTTGAAGATGGGACATGGAAATTTTACTGTAAATCTTAACCCTTAACTGATGGAGTCAAGTCTCTCACTCCAAGAGACATCCTAGTCAGTCAGACTTGGAGCTATGATGTGCTACCTGAGGATCCTGAAAACCATCTCCCACCACCACCTAGCTGCGGGTGAACAGAGGAAAWCAACAGGCCCTGGGATCTGCGTCATCCTTCGCCCAAGTCCTGGGGTCACATGGACTAGGTTTAAATCCCAGCCTGGCAGTTTACCARCTGTGAGATCTTTGCCAATCCCCTCACCTCTCTGAAGCTCCAGTCCCTGATAAGCAGATGAAGACAACCACAGATGTACTTCCTGGAGCTAGTCACAGGTTTACCAAGAGAACACCTGAAAGCATTTAGCACAGTGCCGACAAAGGAGCAGGTCACTAGGATGTAACATCCTAGCTAGGGAAAAAGGGACAGCTCCATCAGCACGGTGGCATTCCCCTGGGGGGCTGCCACCCAAGCATGGGAAAGATATGGAGGGGGTGGGAAGGTGGGGGCATGGAGAGGCAGCTGGGCAGGGAGCGGCCAGATGTTCCAATCATTTCACTTTCTGTTTGGTGAAGAATAAGCACATTCTCCTCAGAGCAGTTTTTGCTGACATCTRGGTTTCTATTTCAAAGTAGAAAAACGAAAGGAAAAATATTTCTTGATTTTCTTTCTAAGACTAAAGTGTCCGAGTGAATGCACAGAAAAGCATCAGGCCACAAATGCKCTGGAGAGGCCTGAGTGGCGCCGGAGCTGCCGGGCCTGGGCTGTGCCCAGCTCCACCCCATGTGAGTTTCAAGCTGGGCCTTCTCTCAGGAGCCTCCGTTTCCTCCTCTGTAGGATGGGGGCGAGGGCAYCTGCCCTGTGGGGCTGCTGTGAAGGCCTCGTGGGGGACGGGGGGCGCTACACAGTGCATTCCAGGGAAAACCTGTGGTGTGGGTTTCAGCTCATCCGTACTCACCTTAAGATGGACTTCACAGACAGAGTTTTCGTGGGGCTGTAGGGAAGGCATATTTTCTGMGTACCCTGGGAAGTGAAAACGCTGAATCAGTGAGGACTGCGGTGACTCCCATCTCTGAGAGAGCCCTGCCTGGGCACTGGAAAGAAGCCGTGTCTGGCCTTTCTTGGGCTCCTTCAGGGCCATGTTCAGAAATGAACGTGTTCTATGCTGGAACGAACCTTGCTCTGGCCGCTGGCATCTTCCACTGTCCCACTGCCCCTGCACACTCATGGATTTGAGCACGACTTTCCACACAGGGATCCTCAGCATCTTGGCATTGTGGAGGGGAGCTGAGCCATCTGCCATGGTTGGGCTAAGTGTTCCCTAAAGACTGTGTGTTTAAAGGCTCGGTCACCGGCCTGTTGTGCTATTGGCAGGGGGTGGAAACTTTTAGAGGTGGGACCAGAGAAGGAAGTTAGGACATTGGGCTGAGCTTCTGAAGTGGACTGTGGGATGTTGGTCTCTCTTTCTCCAGAGGTTCCCAGCTGCCATGAGGTGAGCAGCTTCCTCCATCTACCTACTCCTGCCATGATGTGCTGCCTTACCATAGGCCCAGAAGCAATGGGGCCAACTGACCATGAACTGAAACCTCCAAAATTGTGAGCCAAAACCTATTTTAAAGTTGATTGCCTCAGGTATTTTGTTATAGTAACAGAAAGCTACCTAAAATACCATCTGAACCAGAGGAGAAGAGGGTTTATTTGGTCTCTGAGCTGAGAATTGGATAAGCCTCCAAGATCATAAAAAGAAAACAGTCTCCACTTGACAACAAGATCCACATACAAGGTCTCCAACTCAAAGATTTTTTTTTTGGGGGGGGCGCCTGGGGATGGAACCCAAGGCCTTGCACATGCTAGGCAAATACTCTGCCACTGAGCTACATCCCCTCCTCTTTTTACTTTTGAGACAGAGTCCTACTAAGTTGCTGAGGCTGGCCTCCAATTTGCTATCCTCCTGTCTCAGCCTCCTGAGTTGGGATGTGTGACCATATCTGGCTTCAAAGACTYCTTGAACCAGAAATCATCTGAATCTTCAGAGGTTCTTCTTATGGGAAGAATTTTTCGTTATTTTCCCAAAAGAGAAAGAGTTATCCAAAAGAGAACACTGAAACCAGATGAAACCGGAAGGTTGTAAGTAGCAGCCATAAAATAAAAAATACATATAAGTAAATAAGTAAGTAAGTAAGTACAAAGTTGGCCAGAAAACCTCCTGCCCACTGCTCTGGATGAAGACACTGTTACTTCTCACTAAGGTGCAGGCACTTGAGAAAAACTGGCATGCAGTGCCCCAACGTGGTCACCTCCAACTGTTGCAGAGTACTAATGACAGGACCCAACCCAGTTGGCACAGGAAGGGGGACATGCCAACATTTCTCTGTAGGAAATAATTTCACAAGACTTCATACCAAATAGATTTTCACCCTAAATCTGCTTCAAAAAGAAAAAATTCTGATTGTACCATAAAAGTTTATATAAGGTAAAGGTGGCATATGTGGCTCAGGGATTAAGCTGGACTGGATGTCATTTATTAATTTACTCAACAACTTATTACTAGGGCCCTGCCTATGTGCTAAGCACAGAGCTAGGTAGTGGGATAATGAGGACAGAGAAGACATCTTCCTGACTTCCATGAACTCGGTCTAGTGGGCGAGACAGTAGGAATCAAAGATTTACACATAGAATTAATTATGTGCAATGGTGACAGCTTGGCTCTGCTGGTTTCTGCCTGGTCTGCTACCAGCATGTGGCCTCAGCCATGTCATTTAACCTCCCTGACTTCAAGAGCATCTATTGAGATAATTTTACTTGGAGGACTTAGTATAGTGCCTGGCATGTGCTTGATAAATGTTAGATTTGATTACTATTACTACTCCTGTCTTAAATCGCTATAAAAAGCTCCTAGCCACAAAACTGTGTGGTGACCCCTGGACATTCTTCTGGGCCTTTTGAAGTTACTGATTTATTGCTCTGTGTGTGTGTGTATGTGTGTGTGTGTGTGTGTGTGTGTGTGTGTGTGTGCAGGTGCATACTGTTTCCAACATACCATATGTTGTCTTTGAAAAATTCTTCAAGAAGGAAAGGGAAAAATACCAAGAAAAAAAATGAAAAGAATGAATGAAAGACAGGTCAAATATAAGGATTACTAGAAGGGTAATTCAGGAGACAGGAAAAAAAGCAGCCATCATGAACATGACATAAGAAACTCTCCTGAGCTCAATGAAGAGTTGCACCTGCAAATTGAAGGGTTTCCTTTCAGCTCACTCCCCAGCTGGGTGTTTGGAAACTACCACAGGCAGCGGCTGCCTGTCCAGTTAAGTCTAGAGCAGTTTTTCTAAACTGCTAGACTGACGAAAGGGCTAAACCTAAAAAAGATTCTAGAAGTGGAGCTGATGTGGTGGTTGGCCGAATGTCCCCCGGGGCAGGAGCACCACAGGGCTGTACCCAGGTAAATGCTGTGGAATTTTTCCAGTACATCTTTCTCCTTTAGCTGAAGGTGGGCCGGTTCACTGCTTTCAGAATTAAAAGTGGCTAAGGTGAATGAACTGATATACTTCATAAAATATAGTTCTGTATTCCCAGAGGCCAAGACGGAGGCAAGTGACTGTGTTTGATTAGTGGTTTATAAATAAGGGAAAGGTTACTGTTAAACTCAGAATGGTGTAATCCTGAAGTACCCAAACTGAAAGAACCTCATAGGAAAAGGCTTACCTGAGCCACCTGGACCATGAGGCTTGCGAAACCCTGGACTGGGAATGATCTGTGTGCGAGTCAGGTACTTACTGTTTTCCTCCAAAGAATTGCACGGTATTGAGGGACACGCTGATTGTTCTGGTCAGAAAGGGTCACTGACAAGAAGAAAGGGCTCTTCTCTGCATCATTTCCGATGTAATTCTGGTGGACTGGAGAAGAAACAGGTTTAGAATCCAAGAGCGCAACTCCTTCTTCTAGGCAGAGAGGAGGGGACCCTGTGGTGGTGTCCAGACTTTCCTACACGTGAGCTCAGGGGATGATAATCCCAAGCCCAACATGGGACAGAACCTGTTCACTACCTGATAATCATGCCTGTGACTGGTTCAGGTTTCAATCCTGAATCAAATTCCCCTTTCCCTTGCCAGTGACTAGCTCAGGAGTGAACATGTGACCCAATGCTGGCCAATGAGAAAAAAGGAGAAATCTGATAAGAGACTTCTAGAAAGCCTTCTGACTCAAAAACCTTCTTTTGGACAGCTGTCTAGATGTGATGATCGAATTACTACTGAAACCACCTTGTGATCCTGCGGAGGGCCAAGTTGCCACACTAAGGATGCAGAAGCAGAAAAGGGGAAAGAGCCCGGGTCCTTGACATCACTGAGCCTTTGAATCACCCACTTTAGAGCCTATCCTCCTTCTGGATTTCTCATTCTATACCTTCTCATTTAAGCCAGTTTAGGGCAGGCTTTCTGTTACTGGAAGCTGATGGCACCAAACTCATGGCACCATTTTCTGTCAAATCATCACTGTGCTGGGTTTGCACTGGGGAAGGCGACAACCTTCCTGCTGATTTCTGTCTCTATAAAAGCTTCTATATTCCCCCACCAACTTGAAGAAATTCTGCTGTCCAAATACACAAACTTCTTAGAGGTTAGTGCATCAGGTTTCTAAAGACATCACTAAGGTCTGATTGCTCTCATTTCACAGCTCAAAGATCAAATATGCATTAGYTTAAGAAGCAACTTCTCAAACTCATTTAGGATCCTGCAACTAGTTTATTCTTCCATTGCCAGTGTCTTCTGTCACTAACACACTCCTGTTTTCCATCTTTTTGTGTATTTTCACTTGAGCCCTTTGTTCTAGAAGTATGATGTTGGAAAGCTCTTAGTGACTGAGCTCTTGGGATGTGCCAGGCACTGGGTTTAGTGCTACTTTTTCTTTTCAAACCTTCTAGGTAGGAACTAACACCTACTTTAAAAATAGGGAAGCAGACTYGCAGGAAGTGGAGAGTAGCTCCTGTAAGATCCTCTGTTAATAGATGCAAACCTGTTGTGTGGGTGCCTGAGGGCAGGGACCACSCTGCCTCTGCACTCTGTCCCCACTGCTCTGCAGGCTGCCTGGCTATAGCAGGCTACTCACGCTGAATGGCACCGGCACCCATTGTCTAATGCCCCTCTTGCTCCACATTGGCCCAGAAGCTCGGGGAACCAKTTCTCTGCCTCACTGCCCATGTTCAAAGCTCACTAAATTTGTTTTTCCACCTGAAAATTCTAGTCTCTCAAAGCCCTCATTCAGGTTCTATAATCCCCTTTAACTCCCCAGGGACAAAACAACTTGGAAAAAATCTAAATGACAAAACAAATCACAATCAAAAAAAAAAAAAAAAAAAAAAAAGAGGAAAGAAAAATTCCTAGGGCTGCGACTCCAAATAGCGTCTTTTAATCTACAAAGCTTACTACTGACAGTGAAGTGAAATGCCCTGACCTTAGTGTCCCTAAATTGCCTAGTTTCACTCACATATAGCACCAGAAATTACACTAGCACTCATTTTCATTTTGAGTATCTTTTCTTCCCAACCACTATAATGGCATAATTACCTTGTCCTAAAAAATACTTGAAATACCATCTGGTGTGGTATTCCGGGTTCTCTAAGTGCACGTCTGTTCTTCGCCAAGTACCTGGCAGAGCAGTCGCATTCTGTAATGGAACAAAGTTTGTGCCATTAAGAGCATTACTTAGAAAGCAAATAAGCTGGAAATGAACCAGAAGCCAAAGAACCAGAAAAAAACCATTGTTCAAAGCAACACCCAGGGGCTCTTAACTTCATGTTCTCATTAGAAAAGACACTTGGTCTGAGTCTGCATCATGGAGGTGTTCCAGAGGCCCTCGGGTGCACGAGAGAGAACCGAGTGAGGTGGGAACTGACAGGAGTATAAGGTAGCTCTGTCAGAGGTTTCACAACATTTCGGGGTTGGTGCCCCCCAGAGTGCCAGTTGTTCGCTACCTGACACAGGCACATTTCACCTCCAACACATCTCAGCCTCTGACCTCAAGCCCACAACTATGTAAAATTCTTAAGATATATTATAAAAATCACCCAACTGATGTGGAAAATATGGATGAACATAACAAGTAACTTTATCTGAAGATAATCATTATTAATATTTGGGTATTTTTTCTATGCATACTCATTTGCATTCTTCTTACCAAAATGAATTGTACTGAACATACAGCCTCTGGCTTGCCTTAGCTCTTATCCACGTCAATAAATATATTTCTACAATGTTAATCTTTTTGGCTCAGGTGGCAGTCCACCCTGTGGACACAATATGACTATTTAACAATATCTGACCACTGTAAATAAAGTTGTGCTGAACACCTAATCCCGGCTCTCATGCCAATGTGGTAGGTTATCCCTGGAGGATAAATTCTTGGAAGCCAAACTGCTCTGCCAAGGAGTAGGCACATCGCCAGGGATCTGTGACATGGTGCCACGATCAGAGCTCCCCCAGCCCTGATGGAGGTTGCCCCTTCCCATGCCCTTGATGTTTCCTCTTCATGATTTAATGGCAAAAATGTCATCTCAACGTTGTTTGGGTTTCTTTGTTCACCAACGGAATTGAACATTTCCTTTATACTTTTATTAATTATTTACAATTCTTTTGTGGGTTACCCGCTTATGTCCTTTGTCCGTTTTCTAATCGTTGTATATTATTTTTTCATATTTATTTGTGAAAACTTTGAAATAAAATGCAAATAATTTCTTTTCTAATTAGTTTAATTTTTAACTTTGCTTATGATAATTTGGGGCACAGAGGGATGTTTTAAATTTCTCAGATTGTTCCCCTCCTGGCTCCTGTCTTTAGTATCATTACATAAAAAGGTTTCTCCATACCATTATTTTTAAAAATATATTTTTAGTTGTTGATGAACCTTTATTTGTTTATATGTGGTGTTAAGAATGGAACCCAGTGGCTTACACATGGTAGGCAAACACTCCACCACTGAGCCCCAGCCCCTCCATATCATTATTATTATTTTTTTTAAGAGAGAGAGAGAGAGAGAGAGAAAATTTTTTTTAATATTTATTTTTTAGTTTTCGGCGGATACAACATCTTTGTTTGTATGTGGTGCTGAGGATMAAACCCGCGCCGCACGCATGCCAGGCGAGCRYGCTACCGCTTGAGCCACATCCCCAGCCCTCCATACCATTATTAATGAAACTATTTACCTTTAAATTCTAAATGTTCTGTGGCTTCATTTTTACATTTCACTCTTTAATCTGTTGAGCATTTTTGATGTTTGCTATGAAGTAAAGATCAATTTTTTTCCTAATAGTTTATCAATTAACCTAATTCTAATTTTTTGAACACTATCACTCCCAACCTTCATAAGGTAATAAATACTTTTATAGTGAATGTCTGAGTCTTGCCTGGACTGGGAAGGGGTTATGTTAGACACACATTTTTCTGAATGATTGGCAGTTACTCTACCAAAGCTCCATGGACATCTATTTTGTGCCTTGTGTAGGAGGCAGGCTACTAGAAAGTACTTCTTGATTTTGCCTCTGGTGATTTGCTAGATGTTTGCGATCAGTTTTTTTTTTTTTTTTCCAATAATTTTGAGAAACTTTTCTTCAACTCTGAATTTTCAAAGAGGTTTTTCTCTGGAATGAATATTAAATGTTACTAAGAGCTTTTTCTTCTTTTTTGCCACTATTGAGAGAACAGTTACATGGAGGAAAATCATAGTGATGTAATGTGTTATATATAGCAACAGTTCTTCTGGTGTTGAAGAATTCTTAGACTTCTGGAATGCACCCTACTGGGTCATGGGGTATTATTCTTTTAATGGAAAGCTGGCTTTAAAAAATGATTTATGCATCATAGTTGTTAATGAGATGGATTGAAGCTTCTTTGGTGTGTGTGTTGCTGTCACATTCTCGGGGTTACGAACTGAATCGAGAAACTTCCTGCCTTTACCATAGCTCTGGAAATACTAACATTTGCTAAGAGCTGTAAATGCCAAGTATCAGGCTATGCATTATTTCCAGAACTGCCACCATCAATTTGATGAGACACAGTCTACTTTAACCCCATTCTTTCTGATGAGGAAATCGAGACTTAGTAAGTTAATGAATGTTGCTTATGGATGCAGAGATAATCAGTAGCAGAGCTGGAACTGAAGCCAGTTCCCATTTCAGAGGTGTTTTCTCTCTTTAATTTTAGCCATTACATCATTTTCTGTGTCTTTTTTTTTTTTGTGTGTGTGTGTGTCCTTCCTTTTTAACTTATCAGGGAATAAAACTGTAGGTTAAAGTTTCTTAATATTATTATGCTTTTATTGGATTATCTTGAATTTTGAAAAACAGCTGCAGCTAAATATGTATAAATCTTTATTTGGAAAAAAAATTTAAACTTTTTAAGAGTGGCAAGAATAAGAACAGTGAAGAGAGCTGTGAGAATGAGAAAGCAGAGAGCATCCCCTTTACCAGGCTCACCTGTGAAAACGTCTCACCCGCCATTTGTTCTCTCACCTACACACACACACACACACACACAAACACACACACACACACACACACAATTTTTCCTGAACCATTCAAGACTCAGATGCATAAAAAATAGCCCTTGGGAGCTGGGGTTCTGGCTCAGTGGTAGAGCACTTGCCTAGCATGTGTGAGGCATTGGGTTCTGGTTTCGATTCTCAGCACCATGAAAACAAATTAAATAAATAAAGTAAAGTTATTTTAAAAAAAAAGAATAGCCCTTTACCCCTCAACGCTTCAGTGTGTACTTCTCAAGCAAAGGGACATCTTACATAACCACAGCGTGGCTTTGCCAGTGTCTGTACGTTTAACATTGGTGCATCACTTTTATTTTCTATATTCCCATTTCATCAAGTGGCTCAACAGTGCTGTTTGAAGCTTTGTCCTTTATGTGGATCAATTTGTCGTCATGCCTCTAGCTTCCCTTCATCTGCAACTTTTCCACACACTCTCTTTTATGACAGTGACATTTTTGAAGACTGCAGCACCCTTTTTCCTGTTTTTTTTTAAATAAAGCCCTCCGAGTTTGGAGTCTGCCTGTCATTTCCCTGCACTTAGACTCGGGGTCTGCACACCTGTGGGAGCACCATGAGTGAGGCTGGTCCTTCTCAGCTTATGGAGACACTCGCCCAAGATGCCCTGTGCTCCTTGTTGGTGAGGTTAATTCTGATCACCTGATCAGGGTGTCCCTCTTGGCTTTGACCTTGTGGTGAGACTTAAGAGGGCGTATTGTTGGAATCTGCTCCTCATAGGTTCACTAGCAACAGCCCTTTACTTCCTAACCAGGAGCCCTGGCAGTGCTTCTGCTCCACAGAGGTCTCTACCTGACACCAGGCAGAGTGCCGCCTCCACCTAGGGCCTGTCAACCAACCTTGGGCATCAGTGGACCAGAGCAGGGTGTAGCCCAGGAAGCTGGCCTCAGCCAGTCAGACCCCTCAATAGTTGGTATCATTGCCTTGAGCCCTGGAACCTAGAAAGCTTCCTAGAGCCTGAAGAGGAGACTCTGTCATGTCCCCAGCACAGCTAAACTCCTGGAGCCTYCAAGATTTGCACAACTCAGAGAGGGTTCTTTGAGGCAGCGGCACCAGATGGCAGCTCAGCACTTCTCAGATTTGTTGGAATGTGCACTCCTGAGTTCACTGTAGAACTTCTCCTCCGGATCTCTCTGGGTACCTTTTTTTGTTTTGTTTTTGTGGTGCTGGAGATCAAACCCATGATCTCATGCAAACTAGACAAGCACTACACTGCAATCCAGGATCTGCATTTTAACAAGCAACCGGGTGATGTTGATGACATGAAATTTTCAGAACCAATGCTCTATGCAGGGGTTCTGAAAGAATTGAGGCTGGAAATGGGGGAAAAGACTCAGATGGGGCAAAACAAATACATCTGTATTTTCCCTAACTTCCAGAATTTAGTGTTTCATTCAAGTACGAGCATATAAAATAAACTACAGTAGAGTGAACAGTCCTGGTAACCCTTTCTCTCTCTCTCTCTCTCCCTCACACACACACACACACACACACACACACACACACCAGATAACTTTTAAAAACTTGATAAAACTCATCATAGTGATTGCAGCTATCTAGAAACACTGTTTATGTTCTTCCACCATTTAAAATTATAGTAGTTACAGAATCTACTTCTGGATTGGTTATTTAATATAAGCAAAAAACGCATATATCATGAATTAGGTTTAGAAAATCCTCCTGGGGCTGGGGATATAGCTTGGTGGCACAACACCTGCTTAGCATACACGAGACTCTAGATTTGATTCCCTAGCAATATGAAAAAAAAATTCTGATAACTTGATTATTGATCACCATTTCCTTTGTAATCCTCTGTGGCTTTTTAAAAATATTTTTTTAGTTGTAGATGGATATAATATCTTTATTTGTTTATTTTTATGTGGTGCGGAGGATCAAACCCAGTGCTTCACACGAGCAAGGCAGGTGCTCTACCACTGAGCAACAGCCTCTGCCCCATCCTCTTATTTTATATGCCTTTAAAAATATTATTCTGAGAAGGGATCTACAGACTTCAGCAGACTGCTGAGAAGGGTTGAAGGAACAGAAAATGCACACCTAGGACCTTTGAAGCACGTGCCTCTGCCTGCCCTTCTCTAGAGGCTGCTGGTGGCCACTGT